AAAGAATGGTTAAAAATAATCACTGTCATAAAGACTTATCCTGCCTATATAAAATACTAGCTGTAGAATAGTTATTGTGAGCATCAAAATTGACCACGACCCCGTTTTCTTCACATTTCCCACCTTTTCTTCGCTCCTGTTAGTCTCAGCGCTTTGTTAATAGCATTCACTGATACATGCTCTATCCAACAAAAAAAAATCATTACCGACCTAGTTCCTGAGATTAGCGTGTTCAAACAAACTCTTCAGCTTTATATATTAGTATAGATTCTAAATTACAAAAGATCTGATAGTACGGCTGAAAAACTATCTAAAGAATTAATCACGTTTAACTGTTTATCATAATACTTCGAGTGACATCAGATTTCATAACGTATTTTCAGGTCATCTAATTGGCACGCATCTAAAATAATCACTGCATGTTGATTGCATTTTTAATTGTATATATTTTAGTATGCAACACTGTCTTTACATCAGACGTGTGAAATATTGAATTAAGTAGGTAATAAGTCAGTAATATAAATATATAGAGATATATATTCGCATTATTATTTACAGAGATACGTAAATATTTAAGTAAAATCACGTTTCTTATATTTAGCTAATGGGACGGTCACACTTTTGATCCGTTTCAGTGATCAAATGTACTAAAAGCACTAAGTACACGTGATCAGCTCGGCTTTGTGCCTTGCCCAGCCGAAACGCTTACGTCTCCAAAAAACCTCAGTTCTCGTACATTTGTCAATAGCATTATACCGTTGAGCCACAAGGGCAATCTGGACCCTTGATCAGAAAATTAAGCAACAAAATTATGAATAAGACAATATTTAAGATTAGAAGGCTACTGTACTGTGTACCCTATCATTTGTTTTGTATTTAATTCTGATAGAACAAAGTGTTATGACTTTGCGAAAAAGTAAAGTAGGTAAGATATTCTTAGAATAAACACCTACCAGCTATCTATTTAAAGTGGGACTAGGGAGCACCAATAACACGGTCATCTGTGGTCTAGGCGGTACTAAATTTAAACTTGTCGAAATATTTACTATTTTGTATGATTGTGTATCTTTATTATTACACATCATAATAATATTTGTATTGATAATAATATGTTAAACAGAGAATGAAGATTAATGTTTTTGATAACCAGTGGCTTTGTTTACAGATTAATATTCTATAATAACTATGTGAATAGAACTATCTTCATAAATGTTTCTTTGATATTTAAAGTTTTTTCACCAGCATTAGATATTAAAAAATAAATATTCAAAAAGTTTCCCGTACCGGGAATCGAACCCGAGCCTCCTGGGTGAAAGCCAGGTATCCTAGCCACTAGACCATACGGGAGGTAAACGTTAATATGAAATTGGGAAACAGTTTTAAAATTATGCACTTAAATATACGTATGAACAAATGTAAACTCACATTTTGTATAATGTTTTTTTAACAGAAGGATAGATTATTGTTTTGAATTGAAAAAGCAACGTACTTCGACAGTTTTGAGAATCTCGTATATTTAGTATTAAAATATCAGTGTCCTAAACAGCGTATATATATACACACTTAAATAATCATGTGTATACAAATTTACTGACGTACGTATCTTTAAAAGGTGTGCTTTTTAAACTTCCGCCCTCTCGCACAGTATCGGAAATTTGAAAGGACAGGGGCTACAACTCAGATAATATTTTTCACGTTTTCTTTGTTAAAATACTCGCAACCCCTTTCAATTTCATCCCCCTTAAGCATAATTGTGGGGAGAGAACCGGCTGAACCAAGTGATGTCTGCCGAGATGGTCAAATACTGAAGCTAGATTTAATATTTAATGGGATATTATTAAAAGATGGTATTTTAGTCGTATCTTATAACAGTTGAATTGTATAGAGTGACGCCAAGTTGATAAAAATTATACCTAGACTGTCTTTCTTATTGTAGAATATGGCCTAATAAAATTTGTCAAGTGCTGTTGTTATTATAGCAGTTATACAATTGTTAAATTATATTTTTCACATGGCCTCATATAAATTAAAAATCTATTTGGAAGGAAAATATTTCACCATAGGCAGGAGTTGAACCTGTATCTACAGCGATCCCTGCTGCTGCTTTAACCAGAGGTGGTTAGCAGACCGAAATGTATCGTGTTTTTTTTTTCAATTCAAATAGATTTTTTTTAGATATACAATTGCTTTTCCATAATAAAAGATGCAAGCGTTATATATACCTGTATTGTGTTTATCCTGTTGTTTGTTGTTGATAGCCGGCGATGCATTCACCTGGGCCATTTTTTGTTTAAGTTGTCACTTATTCCTGCAAACAATTAATCGTTTACAAACAATAGTGGGAGACAAAAGAGGTCAGATGCGCGGGAAATTCTTCTATACCCGTAGTATCTCATTGTCTTACTATGAAACTTACTACGTATCTTAAAGAGGCATTATTGAGATAGAGGTCTAATTTATGTTTATAATAACTATTTGCAACAAAAAAGTAATTATTTTCTGAATTAAAACATGTACATGTGTGATAGCGTCGATATTTACTTATACCAGTTTTAAACGTTATCAGTGAAAATTCTCGAAGGTATTTGTAAATGAACAAGAATAGCTAGAATTGAGTTAAATTCGTGTTTCGACGCCTCATTTTTGGCATTTAAAAATCAGAAAACGGTTTTATATTCAACCTTCTGATGTATATTATATTCATAAATCATAGCTACTAATTTAAAAAATACACATTCGAATTTTATATTACCAAGCAATTTATGTGTATATATCACCAACTATCTACATTGTTTTCAACACAATAGATACTTACGTTTCTAATTCTCGATATAGGCAGGTGCCAAAATAAACACTTTATCACTAATCACTCACTTTGACTTTGTAAACACAATTTAAGATAACGAGTTGCACTCGCGAATGATATTTGAATACTGCGCGCGGAACCGTCGCGGCGCGCGTATCGTGCAATCACAGATAGAGTGTACTCTGTGCGACAACAGTGTTGCCTGCGTATCTTTTAAAATCTGCTTTGATGCATTAAATTCATATATTGTTTTAAATTCTTACCAACATTATTAATACATCGTCATAATATGACGTACTTCGTGTTTTCTTAGATTTCCTATTTTTAATGAACTAATTTTACTTATAGGTATTGTTATTAATAATTTAAAGAATTTTTATTATCTTTACTTAAAGAAAAATAATCGATGGAATTTTATGAAAATGAACAATTTTTTATTTTTATTTTGATAGGGGCCAACATAAGTGCACTGGTTGATAAGTTTATTTTAAAGTAAGCCGCTGAGTGCTTGTTTGCTTATACTATTATTACTAACTTGCAGAAATCTTGCGTACATTGGCGAAATTTTTAATTCTGGCACATTTACATCTACTGCGCAGCTTCATATTGGCGCCATTTTAGCTGAGTACCAAAAATCCGAGATCACCCGATTTCAACCGAAAAGCGTTATTGATGCCGCCAAAATATTTAGCACTTTTTAACCAACTTCCTTACAAGGGGGTGTATTGTCGTATTACTCGTATAGGTATAGATATTAAGTTTTGTTTGAATATGAAATTCCCTTTGCTTTTAATCTCTTCTTATCGTTTTAAGCTGGGCGATTAGGCATTGATTACACACGTTGCATACAACTCTGACAATAATAATTATGGGACGGGATTAAGAAAGTGACAGTCTACGAAGCTCACTGGTTAAATGCATCGCGTTAAAAACGAGAGTTTAAATTCTGGGCATGGAATTATGTATAATACTTCTGGTCGGCCAAGGTACAGATTTCAAAAACTTGCCTATAATTAAATGATATATACAAAGGAAACCAAATGTCCCTTATCAATAAATTTAGATGATAATCACATAAATGTGCGTCTAACATTGAAAGTATAATTAATAATAATAATGTATGTAACTAAAAATGTGCAGTTTAGACGAAATAATTAGGGAACGATGGGATCAACTTCAATAAATGTCACTATTATTATTATGATATTAATTAAGAATTAAAAATCAATCAAAATTACGGGCAGGAATTAAACCGGCATCGTCAGCTGTTGCTCTAACCAATTTAGCTACCGAGTCCTAGTCAAAATTCAGCAGCCGTGCTCACGGGGAGTGTCTCCCCACGGCCACGGCTGCTGCAAAGCATCCGAAACGTCGGGCCGAAGTTAAAAATCAGTTTCACATAAGTTTAACTAATATATCGCGTTTTAAACCGTTAAAGTGTTTTATTTAAATGTGTACTACTCGCGTAAACTATAGACAGTATATCAATAAGTTTTTATATATTAATTAAGAAATATATGCTTGTACAGGAAATTCGTATTATTTGTTACTCTATAAATATGTAATACGCGCTATGACGCGGTGGTGGTGATAACTACGATTGAGCATCGGTGGTAAGTGAATGTAGAAATTAATAAGTGAAATATAGCAACAATACTGTTACGGTACATTGCTTACAATTATTCGACGGGAATTATTATTCTAGATTTGTGGCTGATAAAAAAAATTAATGAATAGGCGTATTTTCACTATGTTTTTCTATTTTGTTTTTAACAGTTATATGTTTCTAAGTATACCTACTATGAAAGCTCGTGGTTGAAGAGGTTTTTCCTTTAACGTGGTTATTAATTTAAATTTAAAATTTCTTTCAATGCTAAGTTGACCATAAAAAAAGATTTAATTGCCTTTTAAAAAAACAAAGCAGCTATCTACAAACATTCATACAAGACGGAACGTTTCAATATTTTTATTATAAAATAGTTGTGGTTTTTTGTTTTTTATTTTTGTAATTATAAACTTAATAAATAATAATAAATTTAAAATGACACGTACAATGCGCGTTTACAGTGAGTTGATATTTAATATTTAATATGTACATTCAGTGAGTTGGTAGTACAAGATGTTTCGTATAAAAAGGAGTCCGTATGGTTGTTTTGACGGCTTGTGGTAGGGCTGATAGTTGATGTAGCGGAGATTAGCCTTGCGCGGGCGCCTCTGCAGGTGCCGCTGCCTCCGAGCCTTTAGGTGGCCAGCCTTCAACCATTTTTTTAAGGAAAGCTGTAAATTATAAATCTTGTATAAGAAACGGATTTAAAATATATATTAGGACATGTAATAACACTAACAAGTCGCTATGATTGTTATAATGACAAAAAATTAAGTTTACTTTGACCCCCCCCCCCTCTTAGTTGCACATTGTTAAAAAAAAGTATTCTAAAAAGTTCATTGCCACTCCACGATTTCTTAACGTTTAAAGTTTCAGAGCGATTCCATCAAAATAAATCAACGTTTAGCTCAGCATCAACATAAAAGCTTTCACTAAAGCTTCAAGATACCTAAAGCTAAGTACACCCCGCATTGAATAGAACCCCGCTGAAACTTAAACAACGACACAGAAACAACATCGAAAGCTACATTCATACTTGCCTGCCTCTATAACGAGAATTCGAATACTAGATTTAAAACGAAGCATAGTACAAACTTAGATAACATTTACACAAAGCTTTTTGCCACAAGCGACCATATTATTTACCATATTATAAGCATTAGCGCGATTTTCGACTTACGATCTTATAACTAAAGATTTGACGACAGGTAGAGCCTCTACGCCATCACCTTCTTCAGGAATGCTGGAAATGGAGAACACGTCAACACATGCACAAATCTACATTACATCTGTCATGGTGATGCTCTTAAAATGTCGTTCATCAACAGTTGTAGGGGATTTGTTGTTAAAAAATAACATAAAATAAGGTAAGTTACTTTATCTTGAGACGTGAATATCAGTATATTTATATAGTACTACAGTTTAAAAGATAATGCCAAAGTTTTTAAGGTTGTATAGTTAATATACAACTATATATATTCGTATTTACATAAGAATATATAAAATTAACACACAAAAGTCTGCTGTTCATTGAGACTTATGTCTAATTTACTTTGCTTATAATGTTCAGTCGAGAGAACACTTGCAAAAGAATATAATATTATTGTTCCTTTACATACAGGAGGTATTAAATTAATGTCTTCTATCAACAAACATATACTTACATGCATATGGGATCATGCCGTCATCGTCTTCAGGGTCCATGCAGTCCTTTGTAACTTCTGCTACTTCTGCGTCACTAAGCTTCTCACCTGGAGATTTAAATACCTTATACGATCATATATTATCCCATTTTCTATATATGCAGCGTGGTAACATTACAGTGTCTATTCAGCGATGGAATCAGTTTTTTCTGTTTTTAAGAAAACGTGTTAAACGCGAAGCTAGATGAAGCATAATATGACAACGGAACTTCAGAGGACGTCATTTTTCTAATTATAATAATATATGTTAGATTATAAAACAATGGGACAACTCACTTTTCTTAATCTGTACCACGAGAGATTTTCCCAATCAAAGCAAAAATATATTATCACTTTGAAATCGGTTTATAAGACATTTTTTTATTTTTTAGTATATGTAATATTAAACAGACCTAAAGCAAGGAGTGTGTGTGTAAGTTCGGCGCCAAGCATTAAACCGTTCTCATTCTTGTCGTACAGTTTCAGACATTCTAAGAAGTCTTCATAGACGCCCTGGTCTTTGTCTTTCTTGCATTGGGCGTAGATGGGAAGGAACTCTTCAACCTGCAATCAAAATGTTATGTGTGTCACACCGAAGGTCTGAATGGAAGGTTAGCATGAACTCAAAGCTTCACATACATTGTTTTTTATCCCGTTTTCATAAGTAAATCTTGTCTACGAAATCTCACATTAAATGTGTTTAAACGATTAGATTAGATTTCATAAATTAGTTACTGTGAGCAATCAGTCGAGTTTTAAGAAATAAGAAATCTAACGTAATATAGTACAGACAACGTTTGACAATTACGACGTAGACGGCAAGTTTGAAAAATTTAATATTCTTCATATGTCAATTTAGATCGATCGATCGAGAAAAAATCATTTACGTTACGGGCTGGACTTTAACCGGCCGTCCAGTGTTCTGTATTGCCGATCTAACCAGCTGCCGACACGGTAACTCAATTGGTTAGAGCAGCAGCACGGATCACTGCTGATTTAACTACTTATACTTCTAATAATTTCGATACAATTCGAATATTTGTTAAGAACACAACCATAAGTATTACGTACTGTGAGCATCTTCTCGCCCTTCTTTTTTGTGCCTCCGAGCTTCTCGACCGTAGCCAGTGTGGGGTTTGAGTTGAGCGCCCTCAGGACGTCACCCAGGTTGTAGGCATCGACCTTGCCGCTGCCATCGAAGTCGTAGATGGAGAAGGCGAAAGATGCCCCTGCGCATAGAAGTGATTTATTCAAATAATTTTACAATAATGGTATTGGGAACCGCTATGATGTAAAATAATTTATAACATATTTGCTCGTAAAGTGGATGTAATTACACCAATTTCAATATCGTAATTTCATTACGTACTTGTGCGATAATGTAATGTAAAAGGCACGTGTTTTTTTCTTAGCAAAGAGGTTTTATGTCAAGAAAGTGGTCAATATTTCATGAATAAAATTAACTTAGGGAAATAAAATATAACAAATAAACATTTAATTCTTTAATTTAATTAATTTTGACAATAAATCACAACCTTTTATCTATTACAAAAACACAAAAATATTAATTTACTTTATTAGTAATACTGGCTGTTTTTGTACCTTTGCCTAAAAAAAACGTTGATGCGCGCGCACCACTTATTTGTGAACAAGTAAAAATTTTTATAACTGCTTTAACAATTAATTAAAGATTTATTCGTTTAACTAAGTTAGAGTTTTATTAATTTCCTCGTAAATATTTTATAAAAAGTCGTATGACATACGTGCGCTTTGAAAATTATAGTAATATCGCCTCGGCTGTAATTTTCAACTTACAGCACTTATAACCTGCATTCTTTAATGAGAGAACTTGAGAGAAAATAACTAAAATTTTTGATTTGATTTAATAACATTTAATTATCTTTTCGGGTGAACAGGTTTTAATTAAATCTAGTATCTCCTTAAGTTTGTTTATGTTGAGATACTTAATCACGAAAATGTTCCAGAAAAGCTTAGATAATTCAGGTGTCGTTCAATACGTGGGCGAGCCGACATTCTTTTCTTCCAGTCCACGTTCGATTTGAAACCAATGAGTCACAGTCTAATAATAAACGCGATTGTGTGTCCCAATTCCGAATTTATTTTATCCCGAGGGACTGCTACCTGATATTTTATTTTTCGATTTATGAAAATACTTGTTGCTATGTTAAATTCTTTGCTAAATTAGGTATCAAATAAAATTATATTTAACTTAATACAAATGCTGCCCAGCACCAATGTACGACCTTGATATTGATTGTAATTATTAAACATTACGTCATTATGTATTCATGACCGGAACTAGTAAATCGACGTCTTATCGCGTTATCATAGAAATAATCCATGCCAAAAGTCCTAGCTCGGGGCGATGAAATTCGAGCGGCGTTTCTCTGTTTGGGCGGGCGGTATAGTTAGATCACGTGACGCAAGAAGATAATTTTGGAACGCAGCGCTCGCGCATTGTGATCGCGTCACTGACGCCGGTATTACCTACCACGAACCTTTTATGAGAAACGATCTATAGTTAGTTGCTTGTACATTGAGAGATATCTATTTCTTTTCCGTATTGAGCATATAATAAATACAAGTATTGTTAGGTCACATCACACTCCTTATCTAAGATTAATTAATATTAGTTCACATAGTCGTCTCGATAAATAAAGGTTTTTAAAAAACTCACTTTCGATGTCGTTTTTGCTGAGGTCGCTCTGAAAATAACCAAACAAGTTTTCGTTACTTTTGGGTGAATGGAATTTTTATGTGTCGGTGTGGATATTATTGTGTAATGCAACGCGGCACTCTGTGTACGGAGACATCTCGTTACAAATACGAAGTCACATTTCGCACATCACTTCTTCGGCTAACGTGTCACGCGTACGCATTTCCGGTCAGCGGATTCTAATATCACGCAATTGTGTCACTATATTGTATTAAACAGTCCAATGTTTCACTGAACTCCATGTCACTAATCACTGGTGGGTGACTCACCATTTTGTGTGGTGTTGGTTCCCTCCCGGTCTTCACTGGCAGACGTTCAGACAAGAAGTGGAGCTCGGCAACTTTTCGATGGACTGTTTTAACTGGCTCAGATGGCGCTCACGTCTGGATATTTGAGATTTAGCCCAGGAGTCCGCGAATGTTCTATTTTCGGTGGAGTTGAACCATGCCCACGGTATTCGGAGACACGTACGGCTCGATACAGTTAGAGCGGGATAGAATTAGTTTTCACACATACATCAAAGTAAAATAACTGAAGCCAATCCCAATGGTAAATTTACATTTACGTTAAACTATTTCGATCGTATCTATGTCATAGGTAGGTACCTATAGTGTGAGAGGAAAAGGTTAAGCGTTAGCTCACTTAAGAATCAATATAAAATAAATAACCTCATTTTTTTAACATTTATTACGGTAATCAAACAGACACAAACTCAAAAATAACCTGGATAAACTAGCAATCTTCGTTTTAGTTGCAATCCATATTGGAAGAGAATTCCTTCCAGTGAGCTGAATGGACTAAAGCTTCATTAATGGTATTAAACTTCCATATGACTGATTGAGATGGAGATGGACTCCTCAGCCGTCGCTGGTCCAAAAGGCTGGCTGCCCTGCGCCGTGTATCTGGTGACAGGGGACAGACTACTCGTTTCGAACCATGCATCCGCGCTTCCTACAAATTATTTATTTATTTATTTAATCATTAAAATTCATTGAACCCATTACTACAACAACATGATTAATCATAACTAAAAATCAATTATTGTTACGTCATTTATGCCTTTTCATTTGCTTAGTTGTTTAAATGTGTCTGTTTGATATTTAATATTTTAAGTAACACCAGAAAGAGATCCTGCATTCGAATCTCTGGGTATCATTAAAAATATGTTGACTAAATATATAATCAATTTCATACAAATATTTATCAAAAAGTAACCAATTTAACGTTACAAATAGGGCGTCATTTGAAGTCAGGGGAAAGATTCTCTCATAAAATTATTAGGTAACGTTATTAGTCATTACATTTCCGATAATTATAATTTTAGGAAAACAAAACAAACACCAGCCAACTCTATATGTCTTGGTTGTATGTTTTGATGAAATATTAATTTTCAATATAAATGCCATTGCTAATCTATTCATACCCTACGTTTCCCAGGTAGCTTACGCCTCCACCACCAGCCCCTCAAGCAAGCTAGGAGCCTTGCACCTTGGGTTCTACAACATCGGACGATACTGCTCTTTTTGGAAACCAGACCTGCACTAGATACTCCAGATATGGCGGCGAACTCTTTATTTTTCTAGAAGAGGTTGTGTAATTTTATAGCAGTAAATACAATTTATGTTTAGTTCTGTAAATTAAAAATATACTAAGATAGGATTTACAGATCTTATCTAACTCTTTACTATTATTGAAATATTCGATCGATTTTTCTTTCTGAGAGTCTGTTCGAAATAAGTTTAAAGCATTGAATATCCTAAGTTGGCAAGTCAATATATCTATAAAATGTTTTAAGGAGGAAAAACGTAGATACTTTTAAAACAAAAGAGCTTTATCAGTACAATAGGTAATAAGGACAAAATAAGTGTACCAAAAAAAGGCTCCATAAAATAGAATTCTTTTAAGGTAACTATAGTACTTTAATAAAATCCCAGCAAGTAAGCACTCTCAATAAATAGGTTTAAATGTATGTAAAACAAAAATTGTTGAAAAGGGTTATTATCATGTTACTCAAATTTAAATGATAAAAATGTTGGGGTGTGGAGGAACCCTTCTTAAAGGAAAAATATGTTGTTACTAAAAGTAAATAATAATGTAAAATAAATTGCGATAAAAGAGTACGGAGTATTGATTTTCTGTTTTTAGCCTTATTTGAAATGGTAGTAAATGTAAAGTAATACTAATAATAAAAATTATATATACCATTACTTTAGCATCTGGCATAATATCACCCGATGAACCTCTTGTCATTAGCTCGATTTCTTGTAAGGAAAGGCCTTTTGGGTCTTGCAGTACCGGTTCATCATCATCTTCTGAATACTGTTCGTCACCTAGTAGTATTTTAGACACTGTAAGGATTATATTCATTCGTGCCTGTATAAGAACTTTGAAGGATACCTACGATATGACCGCTATCGAACTATAGGGTTCCAAATGCATACCATTAAGTGGACCTCTCGAATGTCGGTGAAACTTAATAGTTTTGGTTGGGCAGGGTTTGATAAGTGATACAGAATGTGTCTACTGCCTTTCGAAGAGAAAAAGGGATATCACTTTCACTTAATACGTACGATTTAAAGTTAAGAAAGCTTTCTCATAACGCACGAAGTCTTGTTTATTTGGTGTTTCACTTTGATCTGGTACCTGAACAAATTATTTTACTTCATTACTTAAGTAACTTTATGTAACGATACAAAGCTTTTTAGGTAAATCAAGTGTAAGATAATTTATGATATCTTACAACTTGATGAGTTGGAGTTAAATAGCGACTTAATTACAATAGAGAACTTAAAAAAATAGCGTTTTTGAAACTGTTCTTTTTTGTAAATTATATACATCCTGAATGGAAAAATTTATTTAACCTGCTTAGAAGAAGTTGCGATTTGCGTTTCTTCAGTTTTAAAATCCAATGTATTCTCTATCTCACTGACGTCGTCTATTTCAGCGTCTTCCAAAAAAGAATAACTCGATGTTATAGTCATATCAGGGGATGACTCTTTCTTTATCTCTTTATCCAAAACAGTATCCATTGCAGAATCCACAAAGGAGTCCATGATCTTTTTCATTGCAATCATTACAAGATTATTAGGTTCCACTTTTTCTTGTATTAAGTCTGGTTCGGTTATGTTCAGATCACGTTCGACGTCACTCATATCAAAGAGATTAGTTATGAACAATGATGTTGATTTTGATTCATCAGTGTCCATCTAGAAAACAAATTCTACTCGTACCTATGTATCGCTTTTGAATCTTGCTAAATTACTATACTGTGTATTGGTTGTAAAAGACAAGAAGATTACGTAAAATTAAAATAAATTATGTAAAATTTTATGATGAACATGCATATTTAGTCTTGAAACAATTCTGATACTATTTGTTGATCTGTACTGAATTCTGAAAAACATGAGAAATACATTTCTATCGACTAACATTATATTCTTCATCCCCCTGTCCAATAAGAGTATGTTCGTTCAAGCTCGTAGAATGACCTTCAAAACATACAATACCATTATAACAAATCTCCAATACCTATATAACTCACACGATAGACCAACCTGAAACTTTTTGTGGGGTAGAAGTTGCAACTTTACTCGTTGTTTGAAATAGTTTCGCCTCATAATACTTTTTGTTAAACGTTAACAATGGCAGAGCGGTGGAATCTGCCTCGTATGTTTCGTTCAAATTGCATCTGCGCATTTTTCTCAAACCAGAGACATACTGCCATGGTTGACCTAGATCATAAACGTCACGTATAATGTACTTTTTAAAGAGCTTTTCTTTGTATCTTACAAGACATGCAAGTATCAATAGCTTGAAAACATCACCGTGTCGTAATTTTTGGTCAGAGCAAGTTAATGGTGGATGTCGGCGCAAGTTCTGCCCGTGTCGTAATTTTTTTATCTAAAATCAATTTTTAAGTTATATGATGCCATCATATGCAATAACATGTGAAAATATAAAAGTTTTCAAATCTTGTAACATTTTATTGAGCTATTCTGCGCGTTTTAAATAAGACCTTATACAAAGTTTAATGTTTTCTACCCTGGCGGGACTTTAACTGGCATCCACAGCGTCCCGTGTTCTTTGGTCTATCGACACTGTAGCTCAATTAGTTTAAAAATTTTGCAAACTAAATAAATAGATTAATGAAAAAAATAATTAATGCTTATTACCAGAATCATGAGCTGCATTCGCAATTATGTAGGCTTCATCAAGTACTTGTCTAACCAAATGCACGGCTAGGACGGTTGCCACTCTAGGATCATTTTGGTCACTCCTGACTCCTTGTATCTCTACAAAAGAATGATTTAAGTTACTTGAATTGTTCATTTAAACCACAAATTGTTCATTTACCATTGTTTGTCATTTTTCTTTTCGTGAGAATTTTGTCAATATCAAATACTTTTGTTGTTTTTTTGCAGTGTAATAAGGTTAAAGAAAAATAGTTTTTATATGTTATATTAGAGTTTTTCGATTGTCAATTGGGTCATAATCTAATAGTTTCTTTTAGTGGAATTTGATTTATTGCATTTAAACGATAAATTGCTGTTTTTTGATATATTGTGGCAAATCGCGTGGAAACGATGATAGCATGTATGTAAAAAAAGAGAGCTTGAGTACGATAATACTTCTATTTCTTAAGTGATTAGGTAAAAATTCACAATAGCAATGATTAATTTAAAAAAGCAAGTAAAATTTCAATATTCAAACTATTTTGGTAACGCCCAGCCAAAACCAATAATATTCAGCCTCGAACTATTTTAGAATGTTGCTCGATTGTATTCAATGTAATCCGTATATTAGAAAATTTGGACAAAACGCTTTATAATTTTAAATAGTGCTAATTTACAATTTTTTGCAAAAAAATAATAGAAAAAAAAATGTTCAACAAATAGTTCGAGTTCTGTTATCTACTCATGCTACTACAAAAATTTTGCATTAATCGTAAACGTAGTCGTAAATGTTTAATTTTCATACGGAGGAAGAACGTATTGGTTACCAATTTAATTTAAAATCCATTGTAAATACCGATAAGATTTTTTATATATGAATCAACAACTTTGTTTATACAACTAGGTATTTCATGAGCACTCTTTATAATGAACTACCAATAGGTCATCTTGTGACATAGAGAGTCGTTATTCTTTTAGTGGGAAACAATGTACAAAGTAGGAAATGTTTATTGATGCCACTCCCTGCGTCTATTTATAAAGTATTTGCGACACATTGCGCATTTACATTTTATTTCAATCTCGTTAATATGTAGTAAGTACTAGTAAACTACAGATTTTTTATAATTAGATTTTTAATCGTTCACTTAGTTGCGCTTAATACGCAACTGAACATATAATCTTAAATGTAAGTTGTATGAATAGACAAGTTATTGGTAGATTCTCTTTTGTGTCCTCAGTTGTCGAACCAGCGGTCTCTCGCGAATAAAGAAATGACAGGCGTTTTAAAGCGAGCCACGGGCGCCGTGTAGAAAATACATTAGTACAAAAATGGCTATATTTTTGTACAATAACATAGCGAAAAATGAAACTGAAATTTGAATATACTTAACCAACAAAAATACCAAACAACTATGTAAGGGGCTGAACTAAGTAATTTGTAATACTGCTCTCTTAAGTGAAGGGCTGCTCCAAGCTACTTCATGATTGCAATAGAAACAAAAGCTTTCGAGATTATGCTTAGTCGACAGTTAAACTGTAAATCGGCCATGTTGCCGTTACCATGACAACCGGAGGCTGCAGCTTCGCAGGTTACGGCGCAGATATCGATTAAATCTCGATATAGGGCTGACAATACCTTTAAAGAATGAGGTCGCTATTGTAACTAAAACTATGTTTTTAGATCCTGTTAGTAATATAACAAAAATAATTTTCCATTTAAAATTTAAAGAATTTCCCCCCTGCTGCAAATTTAATAGGGCGCGCAGCAACATATGTAGCTAAAGTTCCTGTTAGAATCTAAAGTAGTGGTTATTTTGTCTAGTTATTTTATATATGACACAAAGGTTGTGTTTTCTCAACATATATCATAATTGACAACCCTATAATGCAGTAACCAGCTAGTGAGCCAAGCCTCATTCAGCTGAACCTCCCCTTATAGCGAACTCGTCTCCATCCCCTATCTACCCCGCTTTAAATGTTCTTGAAAAACAATGTAAACAGCCATTAGTGACTTGACTGTGACCTACTTTTACATAAACATATGTTTTAATAATGTTTTGTGAATCGCAATAAACACGTAAGTTCTTTTTTTTATTTATAGACTTTTTAAAAGTTTTTCATCGTAATAATATTCAATATCTCGTGCATAAGATTCGTAAAAGGTAGGTACATATTACTATAATACGAACGAATGTATCCTTCACATTAATAAATCTATTTATGATTAATTTAATTACAGGCGATTCATTACACCGCATAGATCTAAATAGTTTTTACATCACGATGAACAAGTGTATAAAAGGATTATTATAATAGATTTAAACCGATGCCCAACAAAGATATGCCTGAAGATGAAGCAAACAGCGAAGATCTTGTTCCTTACGCGGTGCAGATTTTCTTATGGAGACAAAGTACCCCTTTCGTTAGGCCGAAGTTTGGAAAAGTTCACGATGCCGCATGTATGGTTAGTAATAGTATTCCAATAATATTCTAAATAGTCTTAAGTACTTCAAGAAAAAATATCGTTATGATTATCAAAACTTTTACAAGAAAATTTATAACTTTTATATATTTTAAATACTTACGAATTGTCTTATTAACATTCCTCTTTTGTTTTATAATCTATAGTTCTGTCAACGAGCTCCTGGACATCACGTAAGTAATGCTTTTATTTTTCATTTAACTGCTGGCCAGTAGGTACCCATAGTGTAGGTATTGATAGTGTTGTGGGCGCATTGTAGTGTTTTGCAATTAACTTAAAACTACTTGTGGAAAAATAGGCTTTCATTACAGTTACAACGAACCTGCCCTGTTGAATGATGAATTTTAAATATCTAATAAGAAAAATTATTTTCTTGTGTAATCTATATAACTGTCAACGTCAATGACTGTCAAATCAATGTCAATTTGTCACTGTCAAACCACAGTAATATTTGTTTAAAATGTGATGTTTGTTTACAAATTAAAAATTGTATGCGCTATTTAAGTTAGAAAGTAATGCGGTGTTTAAAACGTCTTAATTTTAAATCTATTAAAGGCTAACATTCTCATTACATGCTAACTACAGGAACTAAAAGAGGCTTGCAAGGTTTGTTTAACTTAAGCGTATATTTTATTAAAAGCAGTTTTTTAATGAAATATACTTTATTTTTCTAGTTAAATATTTTGTTTTTTAGGCATTTGAAAAAGTCCTAGTACAAAATCTAAGATTTGGTCTAACCAGCAGTCTCACAGAGGCTATCGAAACAATACCACGATGGCGCCTTATTCAAGCAGCCCTTCCTCACGTAATGCATTCCTTAGCTGCGTTATTACACAACAGGTATATATGAATATAAATAAAAACAAACTATTTTCCACTCAAAACCTTAATATGTAAATGTTAAGCTTGAATTTTCATTGCGCGAAATGTACATGTTTCAATGGGTTGACGAAATCCTTTCATTACCTGTTGAGACACCATGGTAGCTGAATTCATATCAGCAGCAGCACAAGTCGCTGTGGATGCCAGATCCAGACCCACTTATGTTATCATTTCTTTTTCTTTCTAAAGAGATTTTTAATTTGCTTACCCCTGTTTTAAGCCTTATTTCTTAGGGCGAATAGTATAAGACACAGTGTCTATTAATCATTTATTTATTGATTCAACAAAAAAACTTCTTCCTTAACATTTTAACCCTTATATGATAGAAAAAAGAAATGACTCATGTAATACATGTTATGCATATATGTTATTAAGAAGAGTTAAATACATTTTGTATTTGTAAGTTCAATTAAAAATAAGAAATGAACGAGGCCACTGAGGCATATATTGATTTGTAACTAAGGCCAGTATTCTTTACTACTTACTAAAATGTTTGCAGAGTAAAAGACAACATGCAATCCTTAGGAAATGTAGAAACAAAACTGTTGTACACTTTGCACTGGATTTTACTTGATGCCTCCGATGAATGTGCCGATAATGACTATGAAAATGGAAAGTTTTTCTCGAATCCATTTCATTATCTCTTCTCAGTACCTGTCATGTCTGTGAGTAACTTAAATAGAGAATATTTGAAAAATTACAAAGTTTTAATATGGTCTTTATAAAAATATGATTCTTAGAAATTCAATTTATCTCATATTATTGTAATAATGTATAAAAAATTTCTTAAGGCTAGCCTTGTTTAAAATAAAATATTTTTAATTCATCTGTAGTCTAACAGCATTAAAATAATTTATTGCAGCTATTTGTGTTTCTCTTTGCACCAATATCTCATCACTTAAAAGAGTCAGACTTCACAACAAACTACAGATTAGAGAATGGGTTAAAATTATGGCAAGCTCTGTGGGAGTACAGGCATCCTGATGCTGCATGCTTCACAACACTTGTTAAACCAAAACCTAAGCCATTTGGTGGAAAACATTCCAAGAGGCAACATGGCGACGTCTTTTTGGGTCGTAAGTATTTCCTACAATACAAGTAAAATGTTTCATAGCTTTTATTCTTATTCTTCAAGCTTAATCTTCACTTCCAAAAGATATGAATAATCTTTATTATATAAGTATAATAATAATCTAGTTACGTTTCTTCTTATAGGTAAGTTCTCGAAAGAAGAAGGAGTAGTGAATGGAAGTCCTCCCAGCCAGAATGTATCAATTACTCAGTCAGACGCTCCTTCTAAACAAGCCAGTACTGAAGAAGAGCCTTGGCTATCCTCACCAAAGGATACGATATTTCCCGAAACCATTCCAGAGGAAAGTTCGAGCACAGAGGAAGAGCATGTGGTACTTATATGTTGTACTTTATTGTTTTTCAATGAAAAAGATAATTATGTCTAACTTATCTTTGCTTCTTTTTTTAAATAAAACACTTTGTGTAAAACACGATATTTTTTTTAACGCGGTGTTTTTTTTAATGTGTGGTACTCGCGTAAACTACAGACAGTATTTCCCTTATTTTTGTTTTTATTTTAACTCATATAGATTCTCATTGGTATAGTGCACTAATTAAAGAATTATGCTTAAATATAGTGTTTTTTATATTACTATTATTATCCATTTACTTTCTAGTTTATATACCGGCTACCATCAGAGTCAAACTATGCAGGCCAGACGAGGGGATCTTACACCGTATACGCTGCGGATCCGAGCATCTTTCAACTTAGAAAACCTGATTCAGCGAAGCCAACACTACCAGGAATAAAACCGCTACCGCAGATTACCAAGATGAGGTAACTTATTTTTGATATTAAGTAAAACTAATAAACCGCTGCCTTCAGATGTGATTACTTTAAATTTTACGCATTAAGTCCTGAGATATATTAAAACCATTCTTGCACTTTGACTTTCTTTTTTACTTTACTTACTTGGTCCAATGGTTGATTATTAGCATTGTATGGCTAATAATCAAAGGGTCGTGGCTTCGATCCCCACTTGGCGTGTTTCTAATCAATGTAATTTTTTTCTGAAATTTCGTCTAAAAATCTGGGTATTTAATTAATAGGAATATCGAAATTCCGTCCGGGTCACGAATCATCGTTCCCTAATGAAAAAAAGTTTAAAAGCGTTTCGGTTTAATTATGTAGATTTCCGAATGTATAAGGCTATGTAGGTCAACAGCCTGTCTTGTTAAGATTATTGTGGGGTATTTTGTTTTATTGGGGGGTATAAGAAAAGTAACACATAATTACCTTAAAAATTACACATAATCAACTACTCTATGATAGCATTTATTTAATGATTTCATGTTTTAGTTCATCAGATAAAGAGTCATTATCGGATAGTGGAGGTGCACCTGTAAAAGGAACACCAACTTCCGTGGAAAAATCACCTCCAAAGCCAATAAATGTAAGATACTAAAAGTCAAGCTATAATGAATTTTCATGACATTTCATCTGTCCTTATTTGCTTGATGAACGAATTTGACAACTTATTGTTCTTAACAATATATTTAGGTATCAGCGGCAACGATACTAGATGTCGCCACGTTGCGATGCTTGTTTTCATCTCAGTGGCAAGAAGAGGGGGTTTACTGGGCTTTACATTATTTATATAACAGGTAATGAACCTAACGTCTGAATTAGAGAGAATGTATACTTTGATATCCACCTTAGAGCTTAGACTACATTGCCTTACTAGTATAGTCGTACCTTTTAATTTTGTTGGAACTTGGCGCATTGGTGTAATGGTCCTGAGTTCGATCTCCACCGGATCCAAACATGTTTCTAAGTCATTTATATTTTTTTGAAATCTGTATATTAAATGGATGGTCCACAGATGAAAGAGCTTTCAGTCTGTGAATTTCCGAATATCCAAAGCCGAAATAGGTCGATAGCGCATCTCGGCTATCATCGAGTGAATACCATGCTTGTCTGTCCTCTTCTATCATAACAATCATATTATATTATGTTTTAGATTACGAGATATATCCGACGATGTTTCCAAGCAAACTCAACCGCGCAAACGCAGCAATTCACTCCCGATCCCAAAAATCGAAGTGTCGATCTATCAAAGCTCAGATCTCAAAGAAAGAGACTCACTGAAGAACTTCATGGAAGTCCCAGAAACGAAAGAAATGCCCGTGACGGAAGTGCCCTTTGCCCCAACGCCTAAACTCGACGACGACAACGTGATGATAAGACGAGCCAGCGAAAAAATCAAGCGTAAAATGAAAATGTCCGACCTAAAAGCGTTCGTCGAAACGAAACTGTTGTCTAAATCCGAGAAGGCGTTAGAGAAAATCGGGCAAGACGAACACAAGTTTAGTTTCCATACCGCCGTAAGAATGATCTCTGTAGATATTTTTTTTTAGCACGATTTCGTTGTTTTTTCTTACGTGTTCTCGACGCTCAATTGTTTCACTGTTTGCAGGAGTACCACAGATCTTTGGATAATACCGAGGACAGACCGAACTCCGCTTTAGCAAGTAACTTCGGACTGAGATTGACTGGGGATATTCAGTGTAATCTTGTTAAAGGAAAAAGTATGCCAAGTCTTAGGTAAGTGTATTTTATTTCTATATATTTTCATAACAATAATATTTACAATCGGTAGGCAAAATTCTAGCTAGGTAGGATTTTGTAAAATATACCAATCTATACTTTTACATCAGCTTTAAATTTATAGACGTATTATTTACGTAGTTTATTGATTTTCATCACTATACTATCGCGTTTTCTATCAAAAATAAAAGCACAGCATGCTTTACTTACTACACAACTCGAATTTTCTATTTAAAAATATTTTTTCTCTTTCTCCTGTCTTTATGATGCTTATTCCTACACTAATTTGTGGATGATTAGCTGTCTCATTGACGAGCTAGCTTCTAATGGGTAAGTGTGAGAAATATATATAAATGAGGGTAGTCGCTTAATTTGTTGGTAGTCCACGGAGGTATTTTTATTTGCTAATAGAGAACGATAGATTTGTTAATTAGACGATAATAGACTGATAAATAACAAGTAAAGTAGATAGTGGAATAAATAATAAAACTATAAAATTTATAAATACCAGTTACTAAACGCTTCGAAGCAATTATTTGTAATATTGAAGGAATTAAGAGTCTGGCACGGGTACACTTTGCATGCACATGAGTTCAATTTGTAAAGCTTGAAGAGTGAATCACAAACATCCCAAAAAAGGAAGAGTTTATATCGCACTGTCATCTTTTAATTAAGTTATCTATATTGTATTTTTTATAACCTGGCAAAAAACATTTAAATAAAACACTTTAACGGCTTAAAACGCGATATATTAGTTAAACAAATTTGAAAATGATTGCCGTGGCTGCGAGCGTGAAACGTCGGGCCGTAGTTAAAAAAAAAATTTTTCAAATATATCTTTTACTAAATATATATCGCGTTTTAAACCCTAAAAGTGTTTTATTGAAATGTGTACTACTCGCATAAACTATAGACAGTATTTGGCATCATAAGACCTCAACAAATATGGCGGATTTCAAACCGTAGAGAACTCAATCCTTATATAGAGTGAAGTAGTTGCCACAGATGACACATGGTTGGTTGATTACTTGAATATATATTCTAGTGTCTTAATGTTTTTTGTAAATCAATGTAATCCTTGTGAGAAAATTGCGATTTTATGTTCAATTACCATCAAAATTGTGTGTTTGTTTACCAAAAGTGCCAAGTTAGAAAAAATAGACTATTAAACATAATAAATACTTCTATTAAATAGTTACGTAACATCATAGCAACACACTATAAACATTTCCTCTTATTTTTCAGATACATAGGCGAAGTTAAGACAGAACGAGCCCACGGATTTTCCTCAGCTACAACTTCTAATGTACAAAAGAAGAAAAATCCCATTATAACTGTGACGGAGCACACTCCGACACCGTCGCCTGATTACTTATCGAAGACGAGACAGGTGAGAAACGGGACTTTCTAGGTAGATATTTACATATTAGGGAAAGCTGAGGCATCAACTAATTTTCGCTTTAAATAATGACAAAGGACCGAATCTCTCAATCGTTGAAGTATTTATTGTAAACTTATATTTCGTGCTTATCAACCTTTTAAAACAATAAACAAAAGTGGGTAAATTATGCTTTTACATGCATTTATAATAAAAAAAAGTAACGGTTTTAAACGCGAAATTTCTTAGTTACATTATTTACAATTTTCTTAATTACGGCCCGAAGTTTCAGATACTGAAATTAGTAATATATTTTGCGTTCGAAACCGTTAGTGTTTTGTCGATGTGTACTACCCGCGTAAACTACAAACTGTACTTAAGATACAAAAACAGAATTTATTATATGTCCTACAATTATAACTTAACAAATGATAAGGAGGATAATAGTGTCGTTTGTATTTTTTCTTTTCTTTTATGCAATAAAGTGTTAATAAATAAATAATACATCGATGTTGCGTAGGGCTCACTGGAATCGCAAATGGATTCAGTGAGCATACAAGGTTCACAGCACATTCCGACTCCGGAACGGAAGCCAAGCTTGACCCGTTCGCAGACGGACTCCAATATAACGTACATCGTTGAAGAAATACAAGAAGCGCCGGGATCTAGCAATTATATTACAAAGGAGGGCGATATTGACTTGCAAGTTGTGTTAAAGGTAAATTTAATGATGTATAGTGGGTAAATAGAGATTCACCCACTTGATTCATATTTAAGTTATATATACATACATGGTTTTGTACAGACAGAGAAATTTTTGAAAGAGAATTTTATTTATTTAAAATACATTGATTGTTGAAATACAACACTTCACAACAGCCGTGATAAAGCATCTGAAACGTCAGGTCCTAGTTAAAATGAAAAAAAGAAATGAGTAGCGTAGTAGTACTAGAGTAGAAGAGCGTAATTTATTAGTTAAGTTACTTACACCTTATTTAACTACGGCCCGACGGTTCGGATGATAATATAATAAGATAAAGATAATAATTAATATATTTCGCGTTTTAAACTGTTTTATTTTAATTTGAACTACTCGCGTTATACTATGAATTGTTATTGTTAATGTCTATAACTGATTGTCATATGACGATTTACGTTAAATGGTTATCATAATGACTTTGTGAAACTCCTAGAAAACATTTTTATAGGCAGTATATTCTGTATCAACTATGGACAGTTTCTACATAACAATCCGTGTCATGGAAGTCACTTTGAACTTGGTTGATACACTCATGGAAATTGGAGTCCACAAGAACTGGCAGACCGATATAACGCAAGATCCAAGACCAGAGACTATAGATCCGTTGAGTGAACTTACAAAGGATAAAGATAATAAGGTATCAATAAATTGTGTGAGGCTTTCACGGCCATCGTTCAGCATATCATTGTTTTTCGTGATGGTGAACCGTCGAGAACCTCTTCTCGCTCACGTCGGCCGAACACTTGATACTGTACTTTCATTATTACTGGTAATTTATGGTTTGTTGTAATTGAGAGTTAAATAAAAGAAGCACAAAGAAATTAATTACAATATGCATTGCTAAAATTATTATTGAAGGAAAATACATAAGAATAAAGTACCTACACGTCACTTTAAGGCAATTTCTAACTAACTATATACATTATACTCTGCTCTTTGCCGCAGGCGCATCGATGGGCGCGGATAATGGTAACATTTGCAACAGGTTTATGAAATGTTATACTCTTGTTGCCAGTTGTTTTTCCATTTAACCTAGTTTTCCATTTAATTAATGATGTTGTTGTCTTGTTTTAGAAATATAATTTTTTCACAACTAGACAACAATGTCTTTATATGTAATAAGACGACACGTCTTGAATTAAAGTTTAATGACTAAAGTCAAAGTAAAAAAAATAAGTTTAATGTAAAGAAATGTTATTTTAATTTTGTATATTTTTTTAGGATATAGATTCGGAGTTGCGTTGTACTCATAGCCAAGAGTCGACTAACATTGATGGCGAAAGTAAAGAACGAACTAAAGACTTCGAGAACTATGACTGTCCATATTACATGATCATGCATATTATTTTGAGGTAAATTATGTATATAATAAAAAAATATATTCACCCCTACTATTTATAACGTTTCTTATTAACTACCTAAGAGATACATCGTATACTTTGCATATAACATAAAAAGTGCAGAACTTCAGATAATAAGTAAAGAATAATGCGTATATTCTATCTCTGAAACATCAGAATTCGTCTGGAAAATTGTATATCAAATTGATGGTAGGAATATTGTGGAATTTATTTCTAGATCACGAACCAAAGTCTAAAGATGAAAACGTCTTCAATTTTAATGGCGTTTCGGTTTCAGTCTGTGGATTTCCGAATATCCAAAGCCAAAATAGGTGGACATCGCATCTTGTTTAGATGCATATGGCTGGTGGTATTACCTACCATCAATTAAAATCATTCATCCTCTATCATAAAATGAGATAGTATTTCAAAATTGTTGAGCGAATTGTTTTTGATGTTCGTTTTTATTGTGTTATTTCAGACTTCTACGGCAACTAGGATGTTCCCATGGCTGCACCACCGCACTACGAGGACCTCAAGCAGAATCTTTAAGGATTCAAGCTCGTAACTCTTTAAAATTCCTACGATCATCGTGCATTACCAAATTCACACAGCGTATTAAGGAAATGACCAAGTTCTCACCAATACGCGAAGTTTTGGATAATCTTCACGCTACTGTTGGGTTTTGTGCAGAGCCGACAATGGTTTCGCCTTTAAGTAAGTTTTTGTAGTGAGACTGATAATCTGTTGTACTTCATTAATATTATGTTAGTTAATTATATCATAATTAGGTATTTTATATATAGTCCCAGTACTGGGACTCATATACTACATAATTTCAGGTTCTAGGCCATAACGGTTCGTATATAACGTTTATAAAAGTAATATTTAGCAAAAATCTGGGAAATAACATTAAAATCAATTCCCAATACAAAAGAAAATAATGTTCTAAGATTTTGACAGAGGTATACTTAAGTTTGTTTATTTATAGTACTTATGTAAATATTTTTCGCTAGGTCAACAAAAACGGAATACATCAAAATCTCCAGATCTAAGCCATTTACAAGCTCAGTACGCTACTAACTTTGGCGCTACTACGGGATCTACTAAAACAATTGACTCATTCGTTATAGAATCTGTATTGAGAGTTCTTGTTACACGGTTTGCACTTATGCACAAAGAATTGAAAATGTTGGATAACTCGGTGAGTGAGAATTAATTAACGAAGAACATATCAACGTTATGAATAATTCTTATTCTTCCTTATGTTGGCATTGTTGCTTTCTTTCTATGCTTGTGAAATTATTGAAACATATCACTTAATTATATATAGGTTAAATACCCCCGTCATGTAACATCTAAACAAGATATGACTCGGTTTTGGATATTTGGAAATCCACAGACTGAAATTGAAACGTGATTAAACTTCAAGCCTTTTGCATCTGACAAATATAGATTCCTTGCTGATTTTATACATTTTAGTGGGAAATATTCAGACTATTTCTGTCTCTTTCATTTAGAATAATGTGTAAAAGAGACAACAGGTACTTGTTTCTACTAACAATAAATTTCTTTTTTTTATTCAATAGGCGTTGTATTCTGAGGTCCGCCTTCTGCTAAGTTATGTTCGGGAAGCCCATGGCCACGAGTTTCGTCTAGTTGCATTGAGTGGACTGCTGGATACGGCTGAAAGACCAGGCGCCCATCCCAAAGACACTAATATGCAGACGACTAGAGTCATTAGGTAATATAATATATTTGTAAAACTTAACATTATGGGTTCCATGAAGGCAAATAAATTAAGTTCCAAACAGTGATTTGACGTGATGTAGAATTATAAAACATGGCGAAGTGATTTCTCGGTTTTATAAATTAAAAAAGTACTTCCTTTTTTGTTTTTTATTTATCTATACTAATATTATAAAGCCGTAGAGTTAGTTTATTTTAATGCGCTTATCTGACAATATACACTAGTTCAAATTAAAAAATTGTTTTATTGTTGATTGAACAATTTATCTTGGAAGGCTTTATTTAGGCTATAAAACATCAGACTGCCACCAATACTAGCGTAGAAACAGTGGGAAACGTAGAAAATTTAGGGAATAAAATAGTGCTTCTTTAAATCGAAAAATTTACCTCGACGGTATATGCCTATCTTTTAAGATTAACTCGTAAGAGCAACGGGACGCCAACAACGTCGTAGGTTATAATTTATAATGTAGGAGATTGCTTGCAAAAATAAATATGATGCCTAAAATAACTATCCAAGCGGACGAAGTCAGGGTCACAGCTAATACTTCATATAGTTTTTTTAAATATATGATTTTAAAATACTTTATTATTTTAACCTTCATAAAGGCATGGTTGGCGTGTGTCTGACGAAGATCGCGGAGATGCTGCAGCAGGGGAGCCAAGTGGAAGTGAAGAAAAGACTCACAAGAAATTCACGTTCAAGAAACGTAGCGCGTCATCCACCGGTGCTCAAGTATGTCCTTATACATCAATAGAACTATTGTTAAAATTTTAGAATATGTGGCTTAAATCAACTAAAGCTAATTTGAAGAAACGTTAAAATTCATTTGTTAAATGTACGGACGGAAGTAAGAAAAAAGGGAGAGAAGTATCTGAACGAAAAGAATATATATAAATGTTTTCGTAACTAAGCTCGTTAACGTTTAAAATCTTTTAATAGAGCAACAGCACGTCCCAATTCAAGTTCTGTCCGTGTCATAGCATTTTTTTCAGTCTAAATAGTTTTTTTTTTAACTTTAAGGTCGGGATTACCCACAGGGAATTAAAGACGTCACTATTGTTTTTTTGACTTATTAGAAATAATAATTTTCCAGAGCCTCTTAGAAACTGAAGTCGGAGACGATTCTGCAAGTCAATCGCCGCTATCCGTGCGCACGCGTCGCTACCAACTCACACCGAGGCAGTCTGAACGAACGATTCCATCTATATCTTCTGTGGATATATCGCATCACAAGATATCTCACTCCAAATCGATACCGTCCAAGTTTCACATTAGTGGAATAAGTAAGTACATATTTAATAAGTGACAAAGATAAAGGGATTGTTGCCAATGTATGTTGGAAAAACGTATGTTTTAATTATTGATCCGTTGTAGTAACTTTTACATTTAATTTATTTTTCTATTGGATAGCGGAACCAGTGGGGATTTTAAAATCTCCCATAGGATTTCGATAAAACATGTTTTACTATCGATGAATTCACACCTGGATGTGTAATGTAGCATGTATTCATGACACTTATTTATGTATATGGTTAAACTTCTCCATAGTGAACTGGTTCCGTCAAAAGCCGCATCCTCAGCCCCTAGGAAGAAATGGCTGTGGTTCCGGAGAATCTTTACCCATATCCGGTAGTATGGCGTCTTTAGCGAGACCATACAATATCCACGTCAATCGTCCGGTCCATATGAAAAGACGAGTCGGATATACACTTAACAGGTGAAATAATTTATTTAGTTTTTATTCAAAACTAGTTTTCCTTCAATCCCATAAAAAATAATTCTACATTCATTTTGCAGAATGTTTCCTATCTATAACTAAAGTAACTAATAATCATAAAACATAAAACTGTATTTTTTTTTAATTCCAGAGCAAGAAAACGTGTAGAAGATAGATTAAACAGATTTGGGATTAGAAAAATGGGTAAAAAGAGAGATGGTAGTATTGAAGAAACGCCGGGTGGTTGTAAGTATATTTTGTTTTGTATTCCGTTCTATGTAAACCATTATGTTATATTATACTACACTTAAAAAAAAAAAAATATTCATAATGTTGTACTTCTGAGATGAGAATTTTGCCTTCTTTGGAAGTTAAACTTTTTGGAGGCTAATTATTGTAAAGCTACGCGGTTTTTTAAACTATTTGGAAAATGCTTTCGACTGCAACAGTTTGAATGCCTTTATAGATTTACAAACTTTAGCTTATACATTATACCAATAAGTATTGTAAATACTTATTTCATTCACAAATAGTATTGTAAATACTTATTGGTGAATGAAATGAAGTATTTTTTTAACTATTTTAGACATGTCCCGCCGTGGTTCTATGGAGGGAGGATCTGGTGGTGGTGAATCAGAAGTGGTAATACTTAAACGTCGTCGGCTAGTCGCAGCTGCCCCACTGTATGCTGGATTGGCAAGGTTCAGCTTTATGTTGGATGCTACTCAGCCTGGTGCAACACCAGATGCCCTGTTTATGGCAGCGCTGTTAGATCTTGTAAGTTCTGATACTTTTAAAAGCTAGCAGCTAGCTAGCTACTTAAAAAATGTGGGTGGCTGTCACATAAATATACATTATAATGAAGCTGCATAGAGGGCATCTCTGTCTGGGCTTTGTGATTAATTATTTAAATACATTTATTAATGCCACAATCATTAAGAGTTGTAGACAAAAATACCTTGGAGTTATTAACGTTTACTTTTCCAACAAGTTATTTTTATATTGAATCTTAAAATAATATTGATCTTGACGGATTTCAAGCCTCACTCTAAATCAGCCCCACACAGTAGTTGTTGGTCGAGCAGCGATCTTATTGGAATGTGCGCAATTGGTTCACAATTGCAATAAAGGACAATGGCCGTATTGGCTCAAATCCAACTTAGGGAAACATCCAGGTATGATAAGACTTAAGTTAAGACATAATAAGTGTCTTAGATAAATTGTACTTATATTGTAATACTTTCCATTTTTCAGTACCCTCGGGACCTCTACAGTTGAAACGACAACGTTTAGCTGGAAAACTCTTCTATCAGTGGGCAGAGGTACGTCTTAAATATATTTTCAATATAATATATTAAGTAAATAACTAACAATATTAATTGCAAATTATTTTTAGGCAATTGGAAATAGACTAGAAGAAATGTTGCTTGAAGATAAAAAACATTTGGACACGGTCGTTAACTTAGTGGCTGACCCGGACGGACAGAGGGAGTTGTTGCAGCAAGACGAAGAAGAAGATTTTCTTGATGAAGGTAGATTTCTCAGCAATATAGATTGAGTAGTTGAATTGCCTGATACTAAGAGTTTTTCTTTATGACGGGCTCGTTGGTGTAATGGCAACAATGTATGGTCCAACATTTTTCTAATTATAACTTCTTAAATTTATAATTTTACGAAAGCTTGGGCTTCACCTGGAAATCTAGTTATTAAATGGGTGGTAGAAATATCAAAATTCCGTTCGGGTCACGCACCACCGTCCATAGATTAAAAAGTCTAAAGAAAAACAAAGTTGTCTCTGGTTATTCGCAAAATGTGAATTTGCGAATATCCAAAGACAAAATAGGTCGACAGCACATCTTGTTTGGCTGTTATATTGCTGGGGTATTTCACCTACCATCAAGTGAGCGTCATGCTTGTTGGTCCTCCTCTATCAAAACTTCTTTACTAACACAGCAAGCATTCGTCTCCCGGGAAAAACAATTGGCGCTGAATGTCCCCGCGCCCTAAGAATGATCGCATGCGTCCTTCTATTCGAAATAACAGCGTTCCTACGCGAAACATACCAGAACCTTCCGAAGACATGTCGCGCATCGCTCAAGGAAAGAGGGCCCTGGGACCGCGTATACAGGTACTAACCTCGCTTGTACCCACCAATTTGTTGCCGAGTAGCTGCAATATTATATGTTTGTTGTGTCAATGATTATTTTCTGTTATTATTTTTTTTTGCGAAGGTGGATGATCAAGCGAAGACGTTTGTTGTGTAATAATAAGTGAGTTTTCTTTTATTTTCATTTCGTTAGTTCTGTACGAGTGCATATTTATCATGAGACTTTTCTTTCGAACAGGGCTATTAGCAGTCAACACGCATTAATGCCAGTCGAGTATGTGGTCTAACGAATAATGCATGTAATCGCACATTATGCGCATGCACATAGTAAAATTACGTAACGTACACATACGTTTTTTATAGGAATGGTGAAGAATGAGAGTAGACTTTATATTTAAGCACGTATTAAGTACGATTTCAATAGACATTTTTCTATAATCTCTTGAAAAACCTGAATTATAGAGATCTGCCTAAATTTCTAAAGCCCTAAATAAACACTTAAAATAATATTAAAAACAATTAAAATCGATTCGCATGTCGTCGAGATAAATCAAGTGAATGGTCAAGAAATAACACAATGTAACTAGGTTTATTAAACACAATTCAAGTCACAGTATAACATTAGTTATTACTTTTATAGATTAGATGATGATAGCTGGAAGGCTTTGCTGCATTGGCATGATGTATCAAAATTTTAAGTAGGAGATTAGGAGCTTGATACTTCTTTATAACGAAATGTGTGCTAAATATGTTTTCGTATATAGAGAGGCAAACCGACGTTGGAGTATGGCGCTGTCTAGCATGGGACATTCGCAAGCGTCCGCGCAGAGTCTTCAATCCATCGCCGGAGTTGAGACTGAGAGGAAAATATCGTTTGTCCTACATGAACCTGAAAACGTTTCCGGCGGCAGTAATGTAACTGTAAGTGTTGATACGCATAAGATAAATTGACGTATGCTATGGCATATAGTTTTAGTAAAAAATGTTCCTACAATGCAGGCTAGGATATGAGTAAAATTAGTAATCATGAAATACATGCAATGATATAGATTATAAATAAAGAGGGCACAGACCCTTAAGTACTTTAATGTACAGTTTCCGTTTACTATTCTAACGACCTTTCTAATATAGTCTTATTAGTCTTAGTCTAAGAGTGTTTGTACATTACGCGGTAGTATAAGAACGCGAGAAGTTTTGGATGATTTGCAGCGTGGGTAAGAGGGACCTACACATGGGATCCCATATTAGTTCCTCCGAATACCTAACCGTTTTGACTTTGTCATTAAGCCTCCCCCCTTCGGGTGATCCCTATCTTCCCCCCCCCTTTTGCCATCCGAATCGTCGAGCCATAATTCAAATAATAAAAAAAACCTGACTAATATATTTATAGTTGGCAGAAGTTATACCCGGCGGAGTAGAAGATAAAAAGAGTCGTCTAACGTCGCGCGGAAAGGCGGGAATACACAGACGGAACACGCAGCAAACTCACTCAGCTTACGGATCGTTCAAACGACGCTCTATTAAGCTGCGACAGAAAGATACACGCGAACCTGATGAATGTATGTAACCCTGTGCTTATATTTTACTAGGTGTGTTAGTTTAGTAGTAGCTTAGAATTGTTATTTTACACGTTTAGGCTGTCACCCGCGAAGTTAACCTTAAAAGATAGACATGTAATGTCGCATACAATTTTTTTTATGATTTAAATAGAATTATTACAGCATACATTTTATATAACCTTGATCTAAATATCAGATCATTGATCCATCCATCTAATCAGTGTGTTAGTTGGATAGTTGGGGTTACTAACAACATAATATGACGTTTTCATTCCTTTCAGTTATTAATCGACGATCTGACTCAATTCAAAGCAGACGCAAGGTATCATCGTTATCAGATAGAAGTGACACATCCGAAGTTTATCCTGGTGCGGGTGAGTGACTGTAACATACTTCATTCCTTGCTTCCACATATCTTGAACTTATATAAGCCTCCAAAATAATTAATTAGGATGTGTACAGTTCATTTCAAATAAGATTAAAAACTTTTTCTTTTACTCTTATCTCTTTCCAAAGATGGAGATAGAGAATCTATATATAAGAGAAAAGTTTGGGCTACGCCACTGGTTGTAATAACAAATAATACAATATAAGAAAGTCTGTATATTAAACTTAGATTAAGTGTTTTTAGAGCGAGTCGATAAATTTTTTTGTATCTACTAAATTTTGGGACAACCAAACTAAAAATTAGACTAATATGCAAACTTCATCTATAAAATACTAGATATATCATTTTATTTTTTTCTAGTTTGTGACAAAGAATTGAGATACCTTACTTCTTAGGTATAGTTGTGAATATAAAATATTCTCATTTAATTGGTCTTGAAATTCCGCAGGTGGAACTGTTATAATGCCAAATGAAGTAGATAGTGGTGGAGAAGAGAGTCCTGGTGTATTGTCTGATGATCACGATCATCCGCCGGATAGTCCTGACAGCAACTCCGCAGATCTTCCGGACCACAACAAAAATTACCCTTGGCTTAAAGTATGTACAAGCTTACTTCAAACATCCTTGGCTCTTAAAAAAGGCACCTCATAGGAATATCTTTGTTTTTAGGTTATGGTGAAGTACTTAAACTCATTCAACTACGTTTGCTGTCATCAAAACTTCTGTCACCCATACTGCTTCCGCCGTAACATGAGAGCTACGGAACGACTTGTAAAATCTGTTCGTAAGGTAACCTCATATATTGTAATTATATTTACCTTGATAAGCGTGTCACTTCTCTAAACGATTGTAACAATAGTGCTAAAATGCCGAATGTTTTTAGATATACGGTGAAAAGTTTGGTCTTGAAGTGAGCGCAACCAGTTGCGAAGAAGGACCTGGTGGTGCACGACGGGGAAGACGGTCTCGTAAACCGTCGGAGCACTCTACAGATAGGTTGGTATTATACAGAGATTGTTTAAAAAGTCAACAAAAAATAATACCTACTAAGAAATACGACAAACACAACTTCACCTTCAAGTCATATACACACAATGATCTTGAAGATGCACAGGAATTTTATTAACATGAACTTATTGTCTGAATTCCAGGATCGATCGTTCAGTGCTAGAGAGTGTGGGTATAGCGTATCGTGCTGCAGGTGTGAAACATACGATACCGAACTCAGATGCGCCACCTATCAACAAACCGGCGACAATATTATACCCCCCTACTGACCCTCCGCCTATACTTAAATATCTGAAGGGACAGGTATACTTCTTATTAACAATATTTAATAGGCCAAGATCAAGCTTTACAGATTAATACTACAGTCTTAATTTATAGCTTCCAAAGGCATTGTGAAAGCAGTATATAACATAAAAATAATTTCATTAAGTTTCAGTACAATGTTTTTAAGAAAGAGAATAAATTTGTAGTAAAATTTAACCCCTGCAACACAAAGTTTTGGACTTCCAGAACTAGCATTTGTAGAAAACTTTATAGTGCTACCTTTTTTTTGCAGGTTCGTGACGCATACCATACCCCCCTCGCCTTATTAGTAAAAGGGGCAACTATAATGAGCGAAGATATATTCGCGGAGAGCGCGCCAGTTGCCTGGCAACTGTTATTAGAAGCAGATAGGGAACTCAGTTCTTGTGCTGCCGCCCTATTTATTCTAGCGGCTGTGAAAGCACCGCACGCTGCTTCACAGATTATGCACAATGATCTGAAACATCCGGAGCCATCTGTTAGGTATGTTATATTTAATTTTCGATTTCTTGGTCATAAAGTGCCCCCGTAACCACGGTTGTTGCAAAGCACCCAAAACGTCAGACCGTAGTTAAAATTGTTTTTTTAAAGAAGGGCTACATATTTTCTTTGTATGAAATTAATTCACTATTATTCAACATTATAATAATATAGTGAACATTTGATATAGTAATGTTAAAATGGTTTTTATTACTGTATTATTATTTAAGTAAGGTATTTTTGAGAGATTTCGAGCCGACGCAAAACTTAGAAAAATAATAAACATTAAATATTTTCTTCTAGAATAAACGCAATATTAAGATTCCAAGTCATGTGGAAACTCCGATATCAAGTATGGCCCCGTATGGAGGAAGGCGCATCCATGACATTCAAAGTACCACCGCCGGGGATCGAATTCACTCTACCATCACCGAAGATTGGTATTGAATCATTGGCTGTTGTGGACCCTCCCTGGAGTCCTCAGGTGAAGGATAAAGATATGGAAATGACGTTAAATCAGGAACGCCATGTAAGTGAAATTAGATTTGTACGAAGCCATATTATTTATGTTTAATTTTAGCCTATAGCCTTCCTCGATAAATGCTCTACCTAACACAAACATAATTTTTCAATTCGAACCTGTAGTTCCTGAGATTAGCGCGTTCAAACAAATAAACTCTTTAGCTTGTTCGAAAGTTAAGTTGCCCTTAAAATATATTTTACGGGCTGGTTAGTCTAATGGTAGCAACGCATGGCTAATAACCAACGGGTCCTGGCTTAGATCCCAACCTGGTCTAACATTTATCCAATTAATTTTACAGTTTTTTTATCAAAAATCTTGGACGTTCGGTAATCTGGATGTTTAATAGGTGTTAGGCATATCGAAATTCTATCATGAAGTCATGAAATTAAATCGCATTCCGGTTTCTGTATGTGGATTTCCGAATATCCAAATCCAAAATAAGTCGACAGCGCATTTAGGTTAGATGTTATATGGCTAGAGTATTTAATATTTCATCAAGAGAATCCCGTGCTTGCCTGTCCTCCTCTATCATATTTTATCAATAAATTTTAAGCTGACAAGTTATTTCCACTTTAAGCGGTCACTCGTAACAGCTACAAAAACGCGTAAGAAACAACAGACAGAGGCAATAAAAAAGGCGTTACAGCAACGCGACGACAAGAAGAAGGCGGAGAGAGAAAGTTTCCTTATCACAACGATACCAATTACTAGACAGGCAGCCAGAGAACCTGCTTTGGACCATGTAGCTGATGACCACGTGGAACGTAAGTAGTAAGAGTAAATAATATACAAAATGTAATTTTTAAAATGTATTCAAAGTGACTTAAAAAAACTTAGTACATATGTCTAAATAGACGTTTTCAATAGTAAAATATTTTATACTAAGTTTTTTTAATCTCCTAATTCTTTCTTAATCTTAATTGTAACCGGTAGAGGAACCGTACCATACGACATCCATAATAAATTATATATACCATATAAACAGAACACTTAACGGTTAAAACGCCAAGTATATTTGTCAACTTATTTTTAACAATGACCTTAAAATTATCCATTGCTCAACTGTGGTCACGGGGAGTCTTTGTATTTTTTATATATGACATGTAAAAGTGTTGTCACATTTGGATAGTTCTTTTAATATTTTTAAACTTTATTACTTTTAATATTTTACACATGTTGGCACTATATAAATGTCTACTATATATCAATTGGTTAGATCAACGGCATGGGATGCCGGTTCAAATCCTACCCGTGTCGAAATCCTCCTAATATTATAAACGTGAAAGTTTGTATGGGTGGATGGATATTTGTTACTCTTTCACGCAAAAACTACTGAATGGATTTCAATTAAACTTTCCAATATTCATCCGAATAACTCATAGGCTACAATTTATAATGATATTGTGTGAGCTGTTCAAAATATGACATTAAGTGTCAAGTAAGTAGGAAAAAAGCGAAAAACTTCTGCCAGCTATGCTGGCGCTGCCATAAACTTTAGTTAGACATAATTATGTAACGTATGATATGATAGACATCATTTAGTTTAAATGCGCGATACTACGTAATCCTAATCCTAATCCTGCGTAGACAAAGTCGCGGGCATCAGCTAGTAATATATATTTTATAATTTATATATCAATAAATTTATAATTTTGAATCTTAAACGTTCTTTTAGCTCCAGCTGACGAAGAAGCTACGGAGGTCCGTGGTTCACATCACACCCAAGTTGCATCTGCCTTATTCCCTTCCGTTCTGTGCTCTGCTGTAGCCGAAATCATATCTTTATTGGATGACGCGGCTGTATCCAGAGATGGCTGTTCTGTATATGAAGTTGCTTATCAGGTACTTAGAATATTGTCTAGACTCTAGAGTCTAAAACTTTTAACATAGTATATTATATTTTACAAAGTAAACACTGCATAAGTTATAACTATATTGTTTCTTGTATAAACATTTTCATTTAGTAAAATCCCGTTTCCCCACTTGGGGCATGGGGCTACTGTGTCTGTTTTTCTGGTCAGACTTTACCCTGCATCTATTGTTTCCCCGGGAAAACATCACGGAATCTCTCGCCCTTAACGCAATGCTTGGCAACAAACCATTTAGCTACAAAGTCTGTCAAATACAACTATTTGAAGACAATTGTCATTTAGATAGTAAATAAAAGTATGCCTCTCTTTCTCTTCCTTTAGGTTATATGGGGCTGCCTAGTTGAAGACTCTGCGTTATTCCTTCGTCATGTCCTAGAAAGGCTAACGCGAGATCATCAAGATGAAATGTTCAAACTACTACGTCACCTCATCAGATTTATTCCGAGACTGCCCCAGCAAGCAGCATTCGCTCTATACAACTATATCATCGGTTACGTCATGTTCTACGTGAGAACACCACATGAAGGCGGTCAGAGGTTAATTGGTGCAGCTATGTCTATTCTATGGATGGTAAGACCATTAAAATTATAAGATTTGAAGCACATTATAGTTTTGGTCCTGTTATGTACGTATTGTAAGCATGTTTTTACGAATTCTTCTTCAAATACATTTTTAAGTACCAATTGTTTAAAAGCAACTAGTTTTTTTCCAGGTTGTGCACAGCGTACACGGTATTATGTTTAAGGATTTAAAACAAATATTACGCAAAGAGCAATGCGACGCGTCCATACTTTTGACGGCTAATGTTCCCGCCGCTAAGAAAATTATTGTTCACGGTCCAGGTGAAGTATTAAACACATTTTTAATCTGTGGAATTAAGTCGGGAGGGTTGTATGTGCCACCAATTTAATATCCAGATTTCTAGACGAAGTCCAACATGTATCGTAAATTTAAATAAAACACTTTAACGGTTTATAACGCGATATATTAGTTAAACTTATTTGAAAATGATTTTTAACTTCGGCCCGACGTTTCAAATAAGTTTAACTAATATATCGCGTTTTAAACCGTTAAAGTGTTTTATATAAATGTGTACTACTCGCGTAAACTATAGACAGTATGTTTCGGAAATAAAATTAAATTGATTAGAAAAATTTTGGACCCGGTGCAGCAGTACATTGCCACCATTACACCAACGAGTCCGTCAAAAAATTTCAATGTATTTTATAGACGAGCCTTTCTACTTTAAATGTTTTTTGTAGTCGACAACGAAGGCAGTATTCCGTCACAGTTCCCTGTGCAAGAAGACACGCAGTTCTGTCAAATACTCCGAGAGTCGCTCGACTACTTTGGCATTGCAGAAAAGCAGCACGATGAATACTATCTTGTTGATTTTAAAACGCGTAAGTAATATAAAATAAAAAATAATGGGAGATGTATATATTACATTTACATCTGCTAACTATGTTGTGTTGAATTATGTAAAACGAATAGCGTTAAAATTAAGCTTATAATCATTATTATTTAAGTAAATTTAAAAAATACTCTCCGAATTACACTCTGTTACACTTAAATTATACATACCTCTGTTTAAAATAGTTTTTATATAACTAAACGAAGGATTATTATTTCCTACAGGTCAAATTCACAATCCACAAAGTTATGTACGCGATCACTACTTCTTCAAACGCTCGCAGTATCCTCAACTGGGTTTGGTCCATATGGAACCGGAAGAAGCTTTTAACAAGTTGCAACATCACGAACTCTTACACAAATTCGTAGAAATCGGTAAAGTTTTGCTGGCTTGGGCTATATTGAAGAATGTGGATATGGTAAGATATAAATAAATCTATACTATTGTGTTAATTTATCGACTAAGTTATATATAATTTGTATATATTTACAGGTAGTCCAACGTGTTGTCTTTCTTCACGATGAATTAATGAAACTACCCTCGTTCCCTCGAAAAGCTTTAGAAGCTGATCTAGCTCTGTACAGCCGTGGACCATTGGGATCTACGCTATTGGGGTTGGATGTACTGCATAAATTCATGTAAACATTTTACATTATATATTAAGGATATACTTTATGGCTGCCTTTGTATACATAACGTTTTCTAAAAAAAATAGCTACTAACATGTTCTATTAAAATAGTTACTAGTAAAAATTTGGTAAATATATCGTGTTTGAAAACATTCATATGTTTACAGTTTATGGCACTATGTATATAAATTAAAAATCGATTTTAGATTTTTAAATATACGACACGGACAGGACTTGATCCGGCATCCATAGCGTTACGTGCTGTGAAGTTAGAGTAACAGCACATAATGCTGTGGAAGAATTGATTCTTAATAAATATATTGTAATTGAGTTGCATTTTCAGGTGGGTTCGCATGATCGCTCGAATGTTTGAAGCAATGGCGGGCAATTTCACATCTTCTAGAGACATACACTTATTTCTCAATGTTCTTAATGGCGCCCTAATGTTACACAGCGAAGATTCACTTATTTTGCGATACGTAATTGCAACGTACGTGAACGCGGCTTTTAATTTCAAAAATATATTTTCCACTAATGGGTAAGCATTATTACTAACTTTAAAATTTTGTAGCTAAAATAATATCACTCTAATCTAATAAATACATATATTTCAGCTATTTACTAATAATGCCAACGTTACTTCAAATATATTCAAACTTCCAAACGAACAAGCTGGTAACGACAACGATTGAATATGCAGTCAAACAGTTCTATTTATTAAATCGAAAGCCTTTTATCTTGCAAATGTTTGGCTCTGTGTCTGCTATTTTGGATACTGATGAAGACGCAGCTTACGGAGACGCTAGCAAAGTAAGTTTATAAGTTACTTATATGAGATTTAATTGGTATATACATATTAATTGATATTTAATAACAATATGAAAACAACATTTTTAACATGTTTCATCAAGTGCTATACCCGTAAAAAATATTACTTTTCGAGCGATAAACTCTTTAATTTCATCTTTAATGATTTTCTTAAGCTGCAAAGCATAAGACATTAAACCTTAACACTCAAATGTTGAGGTTAAAATTACATTGTGCGAGGTGCAGGTTTACCAATTAGTTGAAAAAATTGACACGGACACGGTGACTCATATGGTTAGAGCAATAGCACGGGGAGCTGTGGTACTGGTTCAAATGCTGCGTGTCAAAATAAAAAAAAAAGAATTCGAACCTAGCACCAATAGTTCTTTAAAATTAAGCTACGTGTATGATCATCTTATGAATTATTGGAGGATCCAACAATTTTACGTAACAACTTTACTAAACTAAACGACTTTAGGTAGAGCTTGTTATATATTTTTTTAATACTAGCTGCACCTGTAAGATGACCTTTTTAACTTTTAGGTCCAATCCAGCTGTCTATTTAACCTGTTGCTAAGTCTAGAGACACCCTCACCCGACCCTCTTCACATCGCAGAACTTATTAAAGAAGAGAAACCATTGAAACCAATAGATTTTTGCTACCGTGACGAAGAAGAGATGGTCAATGTATTAGATTGTATTAGTCTATGTGTGATGGTCGTTTCGTATTCTGCTGAAAGTATGCGCGGGTATCAAATGCTGGTTTGTATGATTAAATTATTAGTAATTAAAGCTAGAAATATTTCTTTCTGTTTTTCGATTTATATTTCATCAGTTGTCTAATGCCCATTAACAATAATACTCTATTATAAATGGTCCAAATCCTGTAGACAGACTGTCATTGGGAAGGACCATTTTCTTTCCTTTACTATCCGAAGCCTTAGGTCGTAGTTAAAGCTTAATATATTTCGTATATTCTAAACCGATCTCTCTCTCTCTCATAAACTACCGACAGTACGTAAGCGGACTATTTTCCTGTGGTTGCTTTTACATTAATTTAATATAATTTTTCAGATAATATTAGAAGCCATATTACCATGTTACGTTAAACAAATACAGTTACCGACTTATAATAGAGAGGGAAAAACTGAAAAAGAAATCATTCAACAGTTAGCAATAGCTATTAAAACTCTTGTGAATAACTGTGAGGGACTATCCAAGTAAGTAAACGACCGACCGACTCGAAGGACCAAAAAATACATACTTTACTATGCGATTTAAAAAGTAACGCAAATAATTTTCTTTGCAGATCATACAATGGTCCTTATAGAACTTCCCCAGAACACAAGGGCTCATCTCAACGTGGATGTCCAAGGAGCGCAGCAACTCCGTTCATGACTCTCGATATTCTTGATGATGAGTCACACTCTAGATATGTTAGCGATCATTCTAGACTGCCACCGGTCACGGATTATACTGGTGCTGAAGACAGTGAGGTATTTTATTAAATATAATTTAGATATAGATTCTTATTGACTAAAAATAGAAAAAGTTTTTTATGTACATGCTGTGTTACCGTTAGAGCGTAGGTATAATTTAATACACATATAGTCATAAAAAGTTTTTGTAATTTCTTTATTATTGTAATCGGTCTAAAACCAGAATGTTTTGTACGTACAGCTTGTACGAGCTGAATACCGTCGACCGAGGGATGTATTACTTTCGCTCGTTGGAGAATTCATTGGACGAGCGAGTACCCGACTTCTAGATCTCAATGGTTCTAAAGCTAGCGGTGGAAGCGAGGGTAAACCAGTCGAGCTACTGGATTCTAAATCGCATGCGGTTAGTACCATTTCTTCTAATACTCTTTTATGTTGTTGAAAAATGGGAAAATTTACTTATTGCAAGAACAGAAGAAGTTCTTTATTACGGTTATTAGCTCAAAATTATTTGGTCGGGATTTAAATAGATACCATGTTTTTCTACCATCATAACAACATATTACCTTTACAGCGCTTAGCAGAAATAGCACATTCTCTGCTGAAAGTATCGCCATATGACCCTGAATCCATGGGCTGTCGCGGTCTGCAACGATATATGATGCAGGTTCTACCAGCGGCAGACTGGGCTGACGACGCATTAAGACCTGCTTTAATCATGATATTGAGGAGACTGGATAAGGTCTTTTTGAAGATTGCTAAGAAGCCCAGCATACGGGTAAATTTTTTTTCACATTTTAGTTAGTGCACTTGAGAACCTATATTTTATATAAGATTTAAATAATGCAAATAACAAAAGTTGTTAGAATAGGCTGGTAGTTAAATTTAAAGTCGTTTACATAATCTTACACATGCATAACAAAATGAAGTTTACATATTCTTACAGAGAAACACAGATTGGGATTCAGCGGCGGTGCTTTTGAAGGGCGTTTACGAGACGATGATTCGTTGCCCGTACATCATGCATTGGCAGCAAATTAAGACTCTTCTTAACACCGTTCAGGTATTGACAGTTTGTTAACTACGCACTAGCACTAAATAATAATTTAAATGAAGTACCAGAATCATAACAATTTGAAGTGTGTTGAAAATTGTCTTTGATAATGCTTTGCTGCCTTACGCTTAAGACTACCATAACGGGCTATTTAAGGTCAAGTTTTTCGAAAGACCCGTATACTTAAAACGTGATAAATAAAATGTTTTATATTAGTAATTGCACATTACTTATTACAGGCGTTAATAGTGTCGGAAAATAACAGTGGAGAAAATTTATCATCCGCTACCGCTGCTTTAATGTCGCAACCTCCTCCCCCCCACTTTTGCAGTACGGTTGTGAGACTAATCGCGCTACAAGTTATTAATACTGGGGTAAATAAAGTTGTGTTAATCACTAGCTTTCATATAGCTTAGCTCATGTCTAATATTTTGCACAATTTTCAGGACAGCTATTCCCTAGAACAGATGTGTGGCGGTAGTGCTATATTCCCTTCAGCTGAGAAAACCGAGAATATGCTTATGAACTTATTTATGCCGCTGTGTTTGCGAGTTGGGAGCGGCAGAAAGGGTAACTATTTATAATTTAATAAATGTTATATTATTATGATATTTATTGAATAAATTTTGTTACACACTAAAGAATAAATTAAATCATTTTTGTAAGCATTTCAGCAAATATCAAACTAATTTCAATTATATACAGAACTGATGAGCAGCAGTTTTAGTTTCATTTGCTGATGCTATATCAGCTTACATTATTATTATTACGTCCTTTCGCATGTTACTGTCATCTTGACACATATTGGCATCTATTTAAAGTACTTGTTCTAAGTCTAATTGTGAAATCTTGTTCCTATTATTTTCTTCTCTTTGCTACTCTTTTTTTTAGCTGTAAATTTTCCTAAAAATTTAAATGAATTATTCCAGACGTTCCACCTCTCCGCCAATCAGACGTTAGCTACATAGTGTCAGTGGTGTTAAATGCATTGTGCCCGCCAGCGCCACCTGGACAGTTAGCAGCTGTCAACGCCAAACTAAATGCAGCTGACGCGCGTGTCAACTCATTAACATTTACTGGTAGCCGCGATACGAGGAATACTATGAGGCTGTCTAATCAGCTATATAGGATTGCGTTTCTTGGTTAGTTATGTGTGCTATATTTGGCTGGATGTGGTTATTTCCAAAAAAAAAGTTATATTTTTTTACATGCGCAAACAAGAAATATCATTTACGGTAATATAAATTATGATTTTACTTGAAAAATATAAAGAAACACAATAAATGTTATATATATATAACACAATCTTTTACAAAATATCTTCTTTACCTCATCCGCCACTTTCCCGCTTATAGCGTAAAAACGCGCGAAGTAAATTTGTGTTTATGAATGTCTATGTCATTCATTACAATATGTATTTAATAATTTAATACTTTATTTGTAATTCTTCTTATATTATGTTTGTAAAGTGTCTTATGTTTTTTTTCCGAATAAACGGATTTCTATTCTATTCTTAATTTTGTCTTCAATCCCTTTCAGCATTAAAAGTGCTATGTGCATGTTTCACAAGCGAGCTTTGCACGGAATGGGGACGGATAGCGCGAGCTATTCGCGATCTGGGACGTCGTAACGAAGCCTCCCACCATCTCTGGGACTTTCTGGAACACACTGTGGCTTATAGGACCCCACTTTATGTATTGCTACAGCCTTTTATTCTGCATAAGGTAATCAATATAAAACATTGTGCTTGAAAAATAAAATACAAATTTATATTCATATTATCTATATCTTAAAAATATATTTTGATTGAAATATTTTTTTGCCACGGGCAGGATTTGAACCGGCATCCACGCCTAAGAAAGGCGAGGGCAATGTTTATTTTGAAGCCTTTATTTGTTCGCTGATTATCTACATAAAAAAATATCTTAACTAGAATATTTTTAATCTAGTCCTCCATCGTTACAGCTAACACAACCGCCAATAGGAGACCACGAACGTCATATGCAGTTTGTCGTTCGTGAGCGTGTACGTGGATTGAAATTACCCGCTGCGCGAGCGCGTGGCGCTTTACTGGCTGAACTTGCGAGAGAACTACGTACTATGAGAGACACGCACGACCACTATAAGTTCGGTTAGTAAAAAATTTAAAAAAAATGCTGATATTACATTGTACATCAAACTATCATGACTGATAAGTGATATATCTAAACTAATAAAGCTGTAGAGTTTGTTTATTTGAACAGCTCTCGTTCAAAAAAAATTATTTTTGGGTTGTTTGGACCAATGGCGAAGCGAAGAACCAGTCGGAATTATGGGTAGAACGAGAAAAATAATCATCTTTGTAGGTTTTCCTTACGTGAGCTGCGAAAACGATTCAAAAAACAAAAAAAACTTTGAAAGAAGAATATTTTTCTTTAAGTGACACCGTAGATATTGTCTGCCATCTTTTAAAATTAACTAAACACAAGAACGACGCGATAGGATGTGGACGAATTCGTGGGTAACAGCCTTAATTTATAAAGGATATTTTAAGAACTATATAAATCGGCATTACAAATCTTATATATTAGAATTCTAAAATATAGTTTCGTGACTTTACAATTTTTTTTATTTAATAAATCTTTAGTTTTGAATTTTTTAATAAATATGTTATATGTTATTGAGATTTGTATTACTATTTAGATTTTTTACAATTTAAGGACTTAAATAACTCGATTATTGTTATCAGAACAAATAGCGGAGAGCATAGGACAAAGCGGAGGTAAACGCGCCTCCGAAGCACTGCCACGTAACTTGACAGAGAAGCAACAGCAACATCGACCTTCCCTTATATCCATGCTTGTCGGGCGAGCGGGGCTACCTCGCACCCCAGACCACCCGCCTGCTACCCTTGCAGCACAGAGAGGTAAGCAAAAAAACAAATAAGAGAAACTGTATTTTAAAAGGCTTTAGTAAGAAAATGTCCAAAACGTTTCAAGTCGATTTAAGTTTGTGGTTTGTGATAGTTTTCTATGACTTTTTTTATGATAAAGGAATGACAAACATGGGGTTCCTTTGTGGTAGGTTAAATACCACAGCTATATATCTAATAGCGAACCATTTCGGTTTGGATATTCGGAAATCCACTTACTGAAACCGAAAAGCAATTAAATTTGGTGGTTCGTGGCCGGATGGAATCTCTATATTGCTACAACTCATTTAATATCCAATATTTTCAGACAAAGTCCAACATGTTTGACAAAGATTAACAATTTATTAGAAAAATGTTGGACCCGGTGGTAATTGAACCCACGACTCGTTGATTTTTAGTCATACATTGCTACTACTACACCAACGACCCTGTCAAGACTTATAAAGGATACCAAAGTTACATAAAAGCAAAAAATAATATTGGATACGCACGGTCATTCTTTAGGCTCAATACAATCGTTATAGTGGACATACAATAAATGATTAAAATTGTATGTGAAATTCTTTCAAAAGATTCATATTAGTTACTTATTATGTAGAATCGCTGTCAAGCAGTTCGACAACGAGTCAACACGTTCAACACTATGAGTCAAATAACAACGGACGCAGTGACAGCGGAAACGTTTGTCTTAGCAGTGGGCAAATTGGTAAGGGACTGGTTTTCTTGATATTGAAATGAAACTGATATATATATTTATTTGTCTAACTATATCATTATATCTCCTTCTTTCTAATTCTTAGTAACATTTGCAAAATGTAGCTTAGTCAAACAGCCTCTTCAGATAAAGCTATTTAGATACCTTGACGTCATTACAGAGTAGTCTAACTGAAACTTTTTTCACAGGTTCAAATGGCGACCAGAAGCAGGGTGTTTGCGCTCCGATATACACTAATGCGCAAAAGTTGAGATTCGGCTCGTCTGTTGAATTCAGACTTAATACCGGTAAGGTTTTCTGCAAGTATACAAACAGAATTTTACTTTACTGGTAAATATTTTTTTGCTGTAATGTCTCAAAACAACATAAGATCTGAGTAATTCAAGCCTTTATAGTGCTAGAATGAAAAAAAACTTACAAACGCATTAGTCGTCTTTACGAGTTTTTCGATTTCTCAGGTTTTAAAAATAAATATCATCGCAATACGGTTCACAAACGACAAAGTTATTCGCGATCACAAATATAAACGAATCGAATTGATAAAGCTCCTTTTTTGAAGTGGGTTTAAAAAATATCTTTGTTCCCTTCCTATTGGTTTCTTAGCATTGGTATACAAATACACAAGTAATCTTTGTATTTACTAGTTGAACTTCAAGCTCAACGAACAAGAGAAAGGTAACGTTTGAACAATATAAATTACAGGTGAGACATCTCAAACACCCCTTTCTCCGCTGTCTATGGGTGACTCTTGTGGAGAGGATCCTTTGGAAGATGATCGCCCAAGACTTCAGCGCTCTCACGGACCTTCCAAGAAAACCTTTAAGTTCCGACGCAGTAGGAATTCAAAACCTGACGTGAGTAATACAAAACTGACCAAATTTGCCTAATTCAATCCAAAGCCAAAATAGGTTGCGCATCCGCGCATCTTGTATAGATGTTATATAGCTATAGGTGGACTGTAACTGCAAGTAATATTTACAGCTAACCCACATTCGACTGGAATCGGATTCATGTTCATCTCCTGGACCGGAAACGACGCCCCTACGACGAGCCTGGCCCGGTCTGTTGCCACCAACCGCAACCCACACGGACACCTCGTATGATAGTGAAATATCACAGACATCGTCTACTTCTGGATACAGGTACGAAGTCGGTGTAAAATTATAAAAGCCATTATGAAAAAGTCAGGTGGTACGAATTTTACAGAACACACAGGCAGAAGAAAAAATAAATAAATGCACTAACATGGAAAATAAATTTATCTTTATGGGATTCTCTAGCGTACACTGCGAAAACAATTCAATAATCGGAGAACCTATATACGAAAGTATGGTTCCTCTATAAAAGATCTAAAAATCTTCCACAAGAGTATTATGTATCTTTTAAGATTAACTCGCAAAAACGACGCGACGTCGTTTTGGGTAACAGCCAAAATTTAAAAAGCTGAGGAGGTTATTTGCAAATTAAATGTGATGCCCTACTTAAATAACTTTTCTACGCGAACGAAGTCGCGAGCATAACTAGTTAAATAGTAGTGAACGATTTAAGCACAATGTATAATGTCTTGGGATATTCCTTAATACAGAGAGAGCTATAGCCTACAAGCGTCGATGTCAGAATCACCAGGGGGGCGTTCAGCTGCAGCTACGCCCCGAGCGAGCCCCGATGGTAAAACGGTCTTTGTATGTACCCGCAATAATCCTTATTACCCCCAACTGTTTCCTATTCCTTCCTACTCTTGCGCTTTCTCTTCCACAAGAGCTATATACCTGTTTGGTTTGCATCTTCTTCTACACATCTATTGCCTTATTAATAAACGTCGTATATTTTGTTTCTACGATCTAATTCAAAAGATAAACTAAAACACATATAATAATAACTTATAATATTATTACACACGTACTAATAAGGTATTATTATCATTTCTTTTTTTTAATCTCTTTTCGTATATGTGGTATCATTTCAGATTGTAAAGCCCTTTATTAATTCAATAATTATTATCGCCACGTTGTTTCAGCATCTCTAAGCTGCGATTCGGTGACATCCTCGGCCGAACGTACAGCTCTGTTAGGTGCTGCGAGCCAGCACACTCTGCTTAGTGGAGAATTAAGAGATGAGGATACCCTACTTTGATCCCCCTTAATGTCAAATTATCTATATACCTCTTACAGGTAATTATCGTCTTTAGTGTCATTAGAATCAGTATACTACATACCTGTAGGTATATTATAGGTAACAATTACCTATGAAAGTACTTTTTACCTATTTATATAAGTATTATATTGTTTGTTATTGTATACAAATGTTTATTTCAAATTGTTTATATGAATAAATGTGATAGATATTTTCCCAGTGTTTAATTTGAATAAATCCAAAATCGATTAAAAATCAAAGACAGATCTTTAGAAAAATAATTTAATGGTTCAAAATAAGATTCCTTATGCCTCTTTACACACTAAGAAAGGCTGAATAGCTAATTCAATGTCACTATCAAATGGTATTTCATTAATATACTTGGAAAAAGTTATAACAATTTTGTAAATGCTTCTTTTAACTGCAGACAAAAGTGCGGCTTTAGTTCTTATCGCAAAACCATCATTTAGTATTTGTTTTCTTGATACCAGTCCAGGTTTTGACAACTTTTCCAGGTTCTGCTTAAGATTTATCAATGCAGCCATTACTATAGGTAAATCATTTTGCACAACTCCATACTTGTCTTCATTCAGAGAAAGAGCTACTATTTGAGCTAATCCCTCACAAGTCCACATTACAGGCTGTGCTTGTAACAGAATAAATTTCAATTTGGTATCAGTAAGTTCACCAAAAAAATAATGTATTCCTGGCTTCTGGCACAATCTCTGGAGGAAATTATTAAATTCCTGCTTTATGGTGACAACAAATGCATTTTCAGTATTATCTTTATCAAGGCTTTTAATATCTAAAGCCTGTGGGGATTGGGCCATATTACGTATTGTTCTTGAAAATTCTATAGGTGAGGCAGGAGAATCTATTAATGGCTTCCTATAGCTGACTTCCTTTATACCAACGATCTGGTTATCACTATTAATATTTTCAAGTTCTTTGTTAAATTCTTTGATTACTATTAGACAGCTTTCCAAAAGGTTATTCCAGTTTCTTGGGTGACCTCCCGGTTGAGATAGTGTAAATACTTGAAGGCGTCTTGCCGGATCAGTCATGGCCAGTATTTTTAAGTCTTGTGCGCCGAGAAATCCAGTGAATTGTGACCTCTGTGATAGAGCACCACAAAGGTTAACGTTTTTATCAGACTCGATTGGGAATTTCATTGGTTCTGTTAAGACTATGTTAAATACAGCCCTCATTGCATTGACAGATATAAAAAAGAGACTTGCATAAAACCAAAGGCCAATCCATATACCTGAGCTGAGCAAATTGATAATACTGTCAAGTGGTGGATCTTCTAAATAGACACTGTAGACATCAGAAACTATACTTCTTGGCCTACCACCCCATATGTAATAGAAAATGCAAAAATAAGCAACAGGTTTTATAGATTTTTGGAATCCAGTTGCAACCACATTTCCCATACACAGTTTCATTTGTTGAAATTTATCTTGGTAAATATGAGGAAAGGTCAAAGCCGTTTTATTAAAAATGTGTGCACTAAGAAAATAAAACAAGCCCATCCACATTCCCCCAAGTTGTAGGAACAGACTTTGTTCATTAAGACACTGTCCATCACTTTTTGTACACAATTTTTTCAAAATATTGTAATTACTTTTTGCTAGTGATGAGTACAATATTAGATTAAAATATCCATTGAGTGCATACAAAAGCGTAAATATAAGGTTCTGTGTGGTGAATATATTCAGAAACATGGAAAATCTTGTAAAATACTTCGGAACAGGGGTCGTGTAGTATTTACCGTAAATATAAGCTTGAAAGAATGAAACTAAACATAGTAAGATTACATTGAGACCCATTTTCCAACTTATAATGTCTTGAAACGTTGATACAATCCATGCTAATGGGTGAATTATGTCTATCTGAATTATAAATACTAAAGCTACAGCAAGAAAGATCTGCAATCCGATGTCCCAAACGACGGCTCTAACGAGTCTTTCAGAAAATATCTCACTTTTATCTTCCATACCGGCATATAATATGGTCCATCAACACAGCAAACAGGTTATAATATTATTACGGCGATCTTTCAAATGTTATTGCTAAATCACAAAATTGGTATAGTCACATTAGTATTATTTTATACGTTAAAAGATTCGAATCAGTGATTTGTTGTGTATCAATAACTCAATGGAAATATAGCAAAATAGAAAATAACAGCCTACTCACATTCAAAAATGTAAGTTCGTTATTTGACACCAATTTGACATTTTACCTATATTATGTCTAATATAGGGTTGAACCATTTGTCCTGCTACGTATAAGATATTTTACAGTTTAATTTGTATATTATTTCCAAAAATACCATACTTCATTAATGGGCATCGCCTATATTGTGAAACAAAGAATGTAGAACAGTTTAGAATCCAAATCGTTGTCTGTGGTTCAAATTTTAATTTAGACGACTTTTTATCTATATACGAAATGTCATTGTAGATGTCAAGCTGTCAATACGAGAACAATAATATTATATTTGTATTATTATTTTTACATATTTTTACCGATTTAATCAGAAATCATATGTACTTTATCACTTAATGAATGTGCAAAGACACTGAGAGGACTTCTTGCTTGTTAAGAATTAATTAATACGTTCGTCAGTGCAAAATTAAACGAGTTTCACGTAAAGATCGCGTGTGAGTTAAAGAAAAGGTGGGGCTCGCTTGCTACCTAACTTGCAATAGTCGTGTTAATTGTGTCCTACATTTTCATACCTTTTTCCAAATGGAAGAAAGTTGTGTGCTCGACTCTATTTTCTTTATAGGAGTGACTTAGTTATTATTTTGAATAATTAGTGTCTTATGGTGAATGCTGAGACTCTTGTTATGTATACTTTCATAGAAATACTTTTAAGCCTAGGAGTGCTAGGCACTCTTGTCACGGTGATATCAGCCTGTGTTTGCGGCTGCAAAAACTCCAATCAAAAGTAAGTACAGCTGTACTATATAAGAATCTAATTTCTTTCTAATTGGACAAAGTTTAGTTCTGAACACTGAACATTGAAGTTTTAAAACGACACAAACTTCATAACAGGAATATTAAAAGCTAATAGGAGTTATCAATTGGTACATTATTGAAGTACAAAAATAAATATTTCTTTGAAGTACATACATACATATACAACATAATTAAACAATTATGTGAACAATAAATATAATTAAAACATAACATGTGTATCCATAATAATGAATAGAATATTTATAGCTCAATGTTTTTAACAGAAGTGAGTTGGTTGGTACGGCAGGAGTGGTGAAAATCCATTTGGATGAAGAAGCTCCATCACCAACGCCAACCACTCCAGCATCTATTAAGCGGTTTGTCTATGTGTCCGCATGCCCTTACCCTAAAAATTATTTCCTTGAGGGCTAACATAGATATTACACGTAGTATTAACCCCTGTGATAGATTATATTGCTTTTAAGATTTTAAGTGTTATCCTGTTTCTTTGTATGCAGTAGCGTAGCTATCGTAGGGCCAGATGGTGCAGTGCACCAGGGCCCCTGAACAGGGGGCCCTCTAACATTATCATCAGGGAGATCAGGGCCCGATTCTTTCTTGAGCCTTAAGATTAGGTAGACCGGGGCCCTTGTCCACCTAGCTATGCTACTGTTTGTATGGCATTTGTTATATTGTAATGGGTATTCCTTACTAATTGAAAATCCTCCATTATGCTTTTGGGTATCGCAGCATAATTTTTTACTCATTAAGAAGTTATTGATTTGAATTATCTTGAGTGTTTGCTATTATCCTATGACATTAATAGAAATAGTGGTAAAATTAGTAGATATTTAATGACAAATACTTGCATGAATGTTACATGTTACATTTAATGAACAATGTGAGTTGAAAATGATTATTAGTGTAATATCATTAAAATGTTTTTACTAAAAACACTTATATGTTTATGTAGAGCATCAACTCAAAATAGTCAGCGAAGCCTACCAGAAATTCCACATCCTGTTGGCAGACATGACAGTGGCGATACTGCTTCAGAAATCTACGCAACAGTTAACTTGGATGAGGGTAAAGTCAACTATTATTTAAAAAATCTTTTATATATCATATTTTATCATCTGTACTAATATTATAAAGAGGAAAAATTTTTATTTTTTTATGTAATGGGTAAACTCAAAAAGTACTAGACCGATTTTAATAATTCTTTTTTCATTAGAAAGCTACATTATCACTGAGTAACATAGGCTATATTTTGTACTCAATTACTATAGACATCTATACAAATTCTTACTAAAACCAACGGAAGGCGTAAAAAAATTAGCCGTAAAATGTCTTTCTTCGCATACCAGATATGACAAAAAATTTCGACAATATTATAAATATATATTTACAAAAAACATCGCGAGAGCATATGTCTAACTATTGTAGTTACGTCGCTATAACTACTTTTTTACATTTAACAAATTGATGGAATATCGATCAAAATCATACCGTGTTATCCATACCATTTATAAATTTGTATACATATAAATAATTTAATATTCAAGACTGTCTCAATACCTGATGATCACTTTTTTAATTATTGAAATCGGACATTCCATTATATCACGAAGTTAAAATAAAAATAAATGCCGGCGGTGGCAGTGCATCGAGTATCTAATTCGACGATAGAAGGGCAGTGGGCTCCTTACGCAGTGGGCGCGAACGACATTGAATATTTCGATTTTTTTTAACCATTTCACTTAAAAACTATGCTTCACTTAAAAAGTTCTTTGCAAAGCTACTTAGTTTAGTATTAGGAATCACACTTTGCATAATATTTCTCAAAGTTCTTTTCAGAACTATCGGTTTGAACTTGAATATTTTCTTTTGTATTATTATTAGTTATTCTTAATTTCTCTGATTTTAAGTAAATACCTAAGAATATTTTCCAAGCGAGATTAGCAAAGTTTATCGTATTGGAGAGTCTTCTCCCAAAAATGATCATCTGGAAAGTATTATAGTGTACGCGTCCCAATCGCAAGCCAGAGAATGTATCGTCGAATGTACAGGTTCGTTTTGCAGAACAAAATGCAAGTTCGTCTCAGCGAACTAAGAATTCGCAAACGCGTGCACGGGACCCTAACACTGAACGCGCAGCGGCTCCTGACACAGCGTGATAGACAAAGGTCGTTAACAGCTAGGTCGCGAAATACATTTTTTTTTTCTAATTTAGTGATTCTTGGTCGTTTTAATTAGCAAGCTTATAATTTTAATATCTGTACTTATTTATGTCTACCCGTGCGAACCCGGGACAGGGCTGCTAGTTCTTTTATAAGCTAGATGTTTCTTACTTCTTCATTAGAGTGACACATTAAAAAAAACTCTTTCTGACAATAGCTAATTACATATTATATATCCACAAAAAAACATATTTACATGTTAAACTTAAAATTTTCATTGGTCGGCAAAATATAAACGATTAGAACTCTCAATATATCTAGGCGATGGAAGATCAAAAAAATAACAATGTACAACCGTAAAAAAGGGGTTTATATTACACAGACTAATATTTTTCAATTATAAAAAAATATCTCTTAAGCCTAAAAAAGGTTGATAGCACATTACAATTAGATGTTTTAGAGCGGTACACAGTACACCATGCATGCCTGTCTTCCTCTATCATGATAAATGATCATCAGATTAAGAAGATTACAATAAACTAGCTGTGCCCGCGACTTCGTTCGCGTGGAAATAAAGTGACTTGACTTGACACTCCCACTCCCAAACCCACTCCTATTCTCAAAAAGCCAACGAAGAAAGTTTCAACGTTCTATCTTCAAAAACCACGAATTTCCATACAAACTTTCACCCTTACCCCTTACACAACCCCCTTTTCGCAATAAAAATAGCAGCCTATGTTCTTTCTCAGGGTCTCGACCGTATGTGTACCAAATTTCATTTAAATCCGTTCAGTAGTTTTGGCGTGAATGAGTAACAGACAGAGTTCCTTTGGCATTTATAATATTAGTAAGGATATATAATGAAAAAGCACATCAGAACCTCAAGGAAAGTACTTCACTTTTAGTAAATACAAAGTCGTCATATGCATTCCGCGGCTACGACGCGGCAGAACTCGCGCTATCTATAATCATGTACCACTTATACTTTGCTCTGAAGTGAATGCCTTCAATTCAAGTGCCTTTTAATACAACTCGAAACACAATAAGATTTTCTTTCCTCAACATTAAATCCAACGACGGTTGACGCATTGAGTCGCTGCGCAAAATCAAAGCGGTTCATTCAAAGGCCTCGTTAATTGAATTTTAATTATTTTATTTCTTTATCTTACAGCTTAAACATATCACAGATCAATTAACACGTGTAAGCCGAGCTAACGTCAACGAATTTTAAGTTTTTCCTTTTCAAATCCGCTGTAAAACATGGTTTAGTAATTTATTAATTACGACAATAAAATACATCAGATAAGTGCATTAATTTTAATCTGAATCGATTGCAATTACCTTTACATTATGTAACAATATTTAAATAGTCGCTTGAGTCATTTTTATTAAATGATTCAATTACTAACAGTAAATCTTGTTTATCTTTAGTTCAGATCTAACCGAAAACCATAAATGTAAAAGTAAATATTGTAGATAAAATAATGTAATACTATTTTTAAATGGAATCTAATCCTTTTTAATAGATAAGCCTCGTAAATCTGGTAGTAGTAGAAAGTAGCCGTTATAAAAAGTAATTAAATAATGTCTACTCGATATCGCGACTATCTCTGTAAATTTAATTATAAAACAATAATATATTTTTTTAGAAAGGATCAACTATTCTAAAATACACCACAAGAAGAAAATTTGAATTTGTTCTATATTTAGCTTGAGATTTTAAGGTATTACCCGCGGCTCAGACCTAATCTTAAAGACTATAATTCCTTTCAGTAGCACCATATTTCAATGAAGGAATATCCTATATGTTGTTCAAAAATAGCCCTTATGCGGAACTCAAGCTATTAGTGAAAACCGCGAAAAAAATTGATGTTACACAACATACAACGAGGCGGATAAGATAATTAAAAAACAAATTCTGTCATGTATTATGAATGTATTACACGGTCTATCCATTTCCTTCATTGATAGATGGACACGCTCCATCTTATTTCAAGCGCACAGACAAACTATGTAGGAATAAATACTTTTTATAATGGTCTTAGTAATTGTACAAAAATAATCTCATTTATAACATTTTATAATATTATACAACAAAGGGCAGCGCTACTGATTCATCTACGTGATACCAAGCCGTGATAAGTGGTCGATAATTAATTATCAATGATTTTGAGGAGTTATCGAAGATCAAATGTCGGAATATTGCGTTTATTTTAGATAAAAGTGCGATTATCATAATCGACTAGCGAAAATGATTGCATGATCTTTGATTTCTAGGGAGCAAGGCCGCGGCCGCGACGACGTCTGGTCGAGACCATCCTTACGAACACGCTTACGCGAAACTACAGAATGAGAGCCACAACGTGTAAGTAAATTTATTAATGAATGTCCAATGCCACAATAGTTCGACAGCACATATTGTTAATAAACCTGTGATATTTTATCTGCTAAACAGTGATCGTGCTTATCTTTTCTCCACTATTTTATATATAAAAGGTAATATACTAGTTACTTGTAAGTTTAAATTAAGTGGTGAGATGTTATATACTTTCTAACTTGCGTCTTCGACATTAATTAATCAGGGTTTACCAAATGTACCAGGTTTCATCCAACACTAGAGTAATAAATGTACAAACAACATAACTTATTTATTTAATTTATGAATATTGTTAAACTTGTAGCTTGAAATTTTTATAACCTTGCACCAACTCGATGTCAAGATTTGATCCTACATTGTAAAGATCTGAATTTGCAACAATAGGACGTATTCTTTTGTTATGGTTATGAGCAGTTTATTTCAATACTGGCTTTATGTCACTAATTGTGGCAACCCATTACCAGGGTAGAAGCTTTACCGCAATTGAAGGAATAGAACCCATAGGAGACGAAGTCCTAAGTCTAAGAAAAATTTCTTGAAATTGCTCAACTTTCGATGACAACCAATGGCGTTTGCCATTGAGAGAGTTAGACCTTTAAAAAGGTCATAAAAGACGCCCTCAAAGTAAGCTACACGACATGTCGTGACAAATATCTACGTCCTCGTATATTCTCTATACATATTATACCTTTGGCATTTCATTGTTCCGAGAATGTATTATTCAGAGAACAGATTAAGTTATATCGCAGAAAGCACATGTTATTTTTTTAATTCACTAGACTTCGGTAGTGATTATATGATAGCTGTGTCAGCGACTTCGTCCATGTGGAATAGTTAGTTTGAGCATCGACATTGCCCACAACCCACGTCGCTCGCATATTGCTTATTGTGTCGCGGGCATTATTTTTTTTAGATTATGTATTTTAAGTAGAAATCATTATTTCATACACATTTTTTTGGTATCTTGAACCGTTTTCGCAGCATACGCACAGATACCCACATAGGTGAATAATTTTCCCCGTTGCTCATGTCTCGCTTTTTCTTTGCTCCTGTTAGTCACAGTGCAATGTTTTACCTCGCCTTCCTCGATAAACTGTAACCAATACAAAATATATATAATTTTCATTTTGAACTCATAGTTCCTGAGATTAGCGCGATCAAACAAATAAACAACTCTTCAGCTTTATACATTAGTATAGATTCATTACAAGAACTATATTACTACGGGAATACGGAGCAGTTATGTTAGGTAAAGGTTCACAGAATCCTACATCCTTCCGTTTTGTATTTAATTGTAATTATCTTCTTTTCTAGAACTGTGGAAATAACAACAGACCAAGACTCAGAAGTTGATATTATACAAATCGACGAGAGAGAGGCGACGCCGTCCGCGGCAGGTTTGAACGGTTTTATTTTTAGTCTTAAATACCTTTACAAGATTTATTTATAATTGACTTTTCCTAAGAACTAAGACTTCGATATAATTGCGAGAATGTTACTCATTGTATTCATTAAAACTTCATTCCGTCTTATTGTTTATTAATGATCCAATTGTTGGATTACTTCCCGGTATTATATAAAAAGTTTGTGGTTAGAAGTGATTTTGTACATATCAATGTACCTACAATTTCTATTGAAAATTATAGGAAAATGTATTTAACACTAAAGAATTTTTAAAATTTTGATAAACATACATATATACAAACAATCATCCTTTCCCATCATGATCCACCATCTTTTTTGGCTTCTCTTATATAGCGGGTTTATTAGTGTAATCATAGCAATGTATAGTAATTACGAACATTTTTCTAATTAATTTATAACTTTTCTGAAACATGTTGGACTTCGTGTGGGAATCTTAATAATAGATGGGTGGTAGGAATATCGAAATTCCGATCGGGTCACGAACCACGAACGGATGAAAACGTGAAATTGAATCGCGTATCGGTTTTAGTCTGTGGATTACCGAATATACAAAGCCAAAAATAGGTCGAGAGTATATCTTGTTTAAATGTTATATGGATGGAGTATATCACCCACCAACAAGCCTGTCTATACTATCATTAAAAAGACATACATTCCCATGAATTATATTGTGTAGAGTTTTTTTTTTAAGTTAACAGAACATAAACACAAAACAGTGTTGCCTGTATTATTTTCAATGACGAACGTGTATGACAAACTATATATTTATTTTCAGAATCCGTTCCGATATCCGCGTCTATAGCAATAAGTGGTCAACTGCCATCAAGTCAAGAGTTGCCATATATAACACCTCCATCGCCACGGCCTAATCCAGATATCACACACTTTAGCGGTGACTCCACAGATTCTGCAAGTGAGTGTGTAACTTAGAATTTTAAAATATAGCAAATTATTAGATAAGCTGTGGGACTTATTTCTTTGTAAACTTTATTATTTTCCACACATTATTGCATATGCTGGCACTTTATAAATTTATAATCGATTATAAATCTAAAAAAAATGAATGAATATTTCGACCTTAACATTAATTACGCAAGTGGTAAGATTGTAATTACATTGCGCGAGAGGTACATGTATCAAATGTACAGGTTGAAAAAATTCGACAATGCCGTGTAGGACACGGTAGCTCAATTGGTTGCAACAGCACAACGCTGTGATACCGGTTCAAGTCCCGCCCGTGTTGTAATTTTTTTCAATGTATAATGGATTTTTAATTTATCACAATATCCATGCTTAGCAATAGATGAAAATTGTGTTCATATTCACAGAGGGTTACACCAGCATATCAGTTCGAGAGCCTCTTAGTAACATCAGGGCACAGAGTATCAAACCACCTTCTCAACCTCACTATGCCACCGTTTCTGATGATTCCGGTATGTAAATTTTTTATTGGTTTTATTATAATATGGATCTACAAATATAAAATTGAATTTGGGGTATTTGCATGCCGTTCTTGCAATCCTGTTTTAGTAATTTATTGTTATATTAGCTGAGTCAGCGGCTTCGTCCGCGTAAAATAGTTATTACAAATTTCTTTTTGCAAACCTCCTGTTGAAGTTTATAAACTTAAGCTTTTACTCACGACTTCATCCGCGTCCCGTTGTTCTTACAAGTTAATCCTAAAGGTAATATTCTATCGCGGACTTTTTTTTTTGATCATTTAAAAAACAATCATTCTTTCATACATATTTTTTAGTTACAGCCTTCCTCGATAAATCCTCTAAAACCAACACAAAAATATTTTTTCACTTCGAACTAGTAGCGCCTTCAAACATACAAACAAACAAACTCTTCAACTTTATACACTAGTAGAGATTAGTAACAACTAACAACATTAATTATTCTTTGTCAAATACCATTTGAAGGGTAATGGTAGCAAAATATGGCTAATAATAATGGACAACCCCTAAGGATAGATTTCTATTTCTTAATAAGTAATCCGATTGGTATTTGATAATCATTACTCACCAAAACGTACATACAATTACTGCCAAATGTGTATATGTATTATTACAAAATGTAATCAATACTAATTATTTTAGACGAGATGTACGCTGCAATCGAAGAAGCCAGTATGGGCGAAGGGTCAGACACCTACGCTCAAATCCCCGACCCCCGTACAAGACGAACTCCTGTAAACCCTCCAGTCAGCACAACGCATGCTCCTACTGCCAATCCAACACACTTGGTCCCTGTTACTACATCAGCGAATATTGTCACGCACGAAGTTGCTATACATACGAGGTATGGAATATTCATTAATTTATTTATTTATCTCTTTATTCAACTCATGCATATTTATACAAATGTGACATTAAATCTCTACAACTTTAGAAAAAAAATATTATTACTAGTTGTTACAAGGGTGGCCTTATCGCTTTGGAGCAATCTCTTTCAGGCAACTCTTATATGAAAATAAAACAAAATTAGATACATATCATGGGAACATACAGTGCGAAGCGTAGGTATATTGATACCTTATCATTTTATCCTCCCATAACAATATATGAGGTATACCTATACTAATATAAGGCAATGCTTATATAACTCACACTATGAAGTAAGACGTTTAGAAGTAAGCATTTTATTTTTTTAACCTTTAAAACACTTGTAATTTTGTCATTTAGTTTAATAAAATTGTACATTCTTATGATAAATTGTTTATAATTGTTGGAACACAACTCCTCTGATTATTAACGTAAATGTTTACTCCGTCCATATTTCAGACGAAGTGCTCCACCAGAAATTGGAGCATCAACTTCGCATGCTACACACTCCCGTCAAGGTATTTAGTTATATTTTAAAAGTTTAATATATTTCATATGATGGCATTATATAAATTAGAAATTTATGTAGAATGAATAAAATTACAACACGGGCGTGACTTAAACCGGCACGTTAGCTCAGTTGGTTAAAACCCTGTGGTTGCCGGTTTAAGTCAAACCGTATCCTGTTTTTTAATTCTTAATAGTAATTACTAGATTTTAAATTTATACTGGATACGGTTTTCATGTAAATATTTTTGTAAATTCTTACTGTAGAGTTATCTTATTTTACTTTTATTTTTCTACAAAAGTAAAGGGTTCTTCCTTTATTCCAAATTATAACTTATTGTCTTACACTATAGTATTATATATAATATATCTGATACCAGCTCTTTAGTAGCTAAGATAAATTACTTTTTCTATGGTCAACTCTTTTAAATTTGGTCATTCGTCAGATTTTATGGCAAGCACAAAATTCTAAAATTATAGCAATTATAAAAGACTAGTTCGATATTGTTTAGTTTAATTTAAAAATAGATCGTGTATCAGTCTCACTGTTTTATTTTGTATACAGCATCACTCTCATCTTGCTCTAATTCTGCCGGTGCATTGGGTTCTCCTAAACCTGAAAAGCGTCAAGCAAATTCACCACTTCCGCCTCCGCCAAGCACACACGACATCAAACATCATCGAATCAATAGCGCTAGTAAGTCCAGTCAACATCCATATCTAAACTAGATTAATATTAACTAGTCAAAAAGCATTACTTTATACTTTCGTTCTTGTCTTGATATTTTCTAGGTGATCTACACTTCAACCACGACAAGCTACGACGTAGTCTTAACGAGAAACACCAACGCAACAACAGCTGCGTCAGCTCTTCCGATTTTTACGGGTGCAACTATCCCGTAGAGAAACATCGCTTTAGCTCCGGTGACCTCATACGACCGCTCGTTGCTAAAGAACTCAACTTCGACATAGACCAGAAAGACGGTGCCACAGATAACCTATACAACTCCATCGAGGGACCAAACTTTAGCGATTACTCATCTGCGGACGCCAACACTAGTATTAACTCCGAAAGAGCCACCGAAAGCCCATCTCGTAACGTAGAAGAAATGTACGCGAAAGTTATGAAGAAGAAGGCAAAAGAAGAAAGTACGAAAAGCATGGAACCGAGCGATGATAAAGCACTAAAGTTCCGCGGAGACGATCCTGGATACGAAACGATAGATAGGAAACATTCTGTCAACCATGGCTATGAAACGATATCGAGGAAGGAACGAAAGAGCTCAAACCAAGACCCAGGTTATGAAACCGTTAAAGATATGCAGCACGTTGGACATACATCCAGTTTTGCCAACAATAACCTCTTAAAAGTGAATCACTTAGTGTCTGACAGCGGGCCTAATAGTATAATTAGTAGTGACCCCGGGTATGAATTAATTTCTAAAGTGGACCACAACGCCTCTGACTCGGATCCTAACTACGAAGTGTTGAGGAATAACCCGCCGACCCCGCCATACGCCACAATAGCGTCTAACTATAAAGTACAACCGACGTATTCCACTGTGAACAAACGTTCCGGAAAATATACAAGTTTACCGAACAATAATGACGAACCAAGCGTCGAACCGAACTACGAATCAATGACTAACGACCCAATATATACAACGGGCAGTGAATCTGACCCAAACTACGAATCTGTTAGGCCTAAGGAACCCAACTACGAGAGTGTGAACGCCCAAGATCCAAACTATGAATCCTTAAGGTGTAAAGATCCGAAATACGAATCAGTTCGTTCCAAAAACTCCCGATACGACTCGGTACGATCTAAGAACGATCCAAATTATGAGAGTGTGAAGTATTTCGAGCTATCTAAGAGAGAACCGCCCTATGAGAAAGTGAATAATGTTGGAGAGAATTCACTGGACAGATCGGATTCCTCAGCTGGTTATGAAAGAATCAATATATCTAACAAGAGGGAGCCGAAGAACAGTATTAACAATGGTGCAGATTGCACAGTCAGTGATTACTTCCAAGTCTAATACCAAATTGTGTTTACAATGATTAAACAATATAGGTCCAATGCCTCTAAAAAAACATGACAATGATCAACGTTAACTTGATTTGAAAATCTCTTCAAGAGTCGGGCAATCTAATCAATGTCATTATTTATTGGTGGATTTGGTCTTATGGTAATATTTTTTAATGATATACCTGAGTAGTAATTTGAGATTGTAAGCTTTTATTTATTTATGCGAATTTTATGAACTTTACAATTAGTTTTAAGAATGTACATTCGACGTCGTTGACGATGTTCTGTAAATGCTTGTGTCGGTTCTTTGAAAGGAATATTAAAACTAGTTAAAACGCGATTTTTTTCGAAGTTGATGAAGTTAACTGCATTTTACTAGTTTTAAGTATTTTGATATACCATGTACTTCTTGCATACTGCAGGTGTCATGGTGGAATTATGGAGGAAAAATAATCTGAACTGAATGGGAACGATTCCGTTTTATATGTAATAATTATTTTGAAAAGGCCGATTGAGTTACCTTTAAAAAATAAAAACAGATAAAGCAAACCAGACTATCATGTACAGTAGAATTATCTCCATATTTTCCTGAGTAATAAACCAACCAGGTGTGATGTTGACAAGCGACAGGCGACTGACCATTATTCGACCTCTCCTATTCCTTAGATATCTGTGATATATATTGTTGTGGATATTATTTTAACTCTGCAACTCACAATCAAAATGATTAGACTGGCAACATTCGCATTTTTTAATATTCATTTTATTAATGTTCATTATTGTAAAACTTAATATTATGTTTCAGATGAACAAAATTCATTCACTTTTTAATAACTACCTTAAATACATCTGTTTCACTTAATAACAATTATGTAGGAGTTGAGAACTATTTTAAGATTGTACAACACATATTTGTAAATAACCGCTGTTTAGATTAAATAAGTTTAATACCTTGTATAACTAAACTAAGACACATAGTGTCCTTATAAGAAGCCTCAGTCCAGTTCTTATGTCTTGTAGTTTTATATAATACCCACATTTAACTATAATAACAGTAATTTGAAACAACTATGGCTGCCCTCAAACTATATCATCAAAATCCAAGTATTGATCAACTAATTTGACTGATCCGCAATGAATGTAACCTATATCACATTTTTTGCTGATTTGTTAAGTAAGGTCGGCAAAAATATGTTTAACTACCGTCGTAGCTTTATATTTAATGAAGCTTTAACTCTGAGTGGCCATAGAGTACAGTAGAGGGAAATGGTGCCTTTTAGACGCACATAAGCATTCTTGCATTTGGAATACCATTCCATTAAAGTTATTTGTAATTGTCAATACGATTTTGAAAATTAGTATTATTCATAGTGGTGATTCTATTAAAATAGTTTACTATGTTTATTGATGTTGTGTTTTGTTACTTTTATAGCATTAATGTGTTGCTATTTTTGTTTGAAAAATGTGTCGCTAGTGCATTATGATAATATATTTTACGATAGTGTTTTAGTACCTGATATAATTGTTAATAATGATTTTCGTGCAAGTGGTGTAGTTCATTAATATCTTATGGAGATATTTTGTTTAATATCATTCGATTCACAGCAAACGAAGAAATCTACTTTAATTTATTGACTTTTATATAACTCAAATTGGTATGGTAATGGATCAACTTTGTACTGCAATATTTATTGAAGGAGCCTATTAGAAGTGTATAATAGTATTTTTGACTGAAAACTTGTACTCATCAAATTGTAACCATTTCAAATATGTACTACAAACTGTGTTTAATATAAAATACAAGTATCAATGCCATAATCTAAACCAGTTATTTATTTTAATACTTGCTTTCTACAATTATTTCCGTAAGTAACATCCGGAATCCGTATTAAGTCAAACTCCCGTCCTTTAACTAATCACGAGTCGCTATGCCCTCTCCGCATCCGCCCTCTATAGAGACGAGAGCTGCAGCTATTTTGTTAGTAAGTATACCGTCTTTGCGTTGTTCGCAAAATTAAGTCGCTTTTATTTTCTCACTATTATTTGGCATCTTTAAGATAATTGCTAAAAAAGTGTTCATTCTAATTCTATTTTTCTCTCTACTTGCACGATGCAAAAACTATGAGTTTTTTAACAGAAGAATCGTGCAAAAACCAACTGCTGCGTCACCTTTAAAACGTGATTTTCTCCATCGTTTTCGACGGATTCTTTAGCGGCAACAGCGAGTGATGCAATATAAAAAAATGATTCAACACTCACGTAGAATCATTTTATTTTATCATACCTTACGGATTTAAAATCTAAGAGTTTGATAACAAATGACTTCAAAATTTATTGGACGTATTCTTATACCTAAGTGTTCTGTTGTTCTGGCGTTTATTGTAAGCTCACTTCAGTGAAATTTCAAACTACCGCCTAGATCTATTATGCGTGAAGGGCGGAACTTACTTGAATATACCAAATACATATCTCGCAATGTTTCAATGGTAGGAATTTGAGAGCTATATTCGTTTTTGTCAAAAGTTAATTGATACACGAGCGACGATGAGCCACGTTTTCATAGAATAAAGCGTAGTCTTACGGCCTTAACTCTATTATTCTAGTAACTAAAAACTAAGCTGCTGATTAGAGCATCTATCGAGGAAGACTATAGGCTATATAAAACATTGCCCTGTGACTAATACAAGCAAAGATAAGTACAGAGAGAAATGTGAAAAAAATGCAAAAATTATTCATCAGTATGGGTTTCCGAGGCGTACACTTTAAAAACGGTTCCCAAAAAATATGTATGAAAGTGCTAAAAAAAAGTCCGCGATGCTATATGTCTATATCTTAATATGACTATGATTATTGACGTCGAGGTTAACATCTTAATTTGGTTGCCAAAAATTACGATTCTGGCGGACGAAGTCGCTGTCACAGCTAGTTACAATATAATAATGTACAATGTACATCATACCTGATACGGAATAGTGTTTGATGGCCATGTGTCACTTCATCACGTCTCGAGCAGTCCCGACTACGTTGTAGATGTTCTCGCTGATCGTCCATAATTCTCTGAAACTCATACTTGGTGTATTAGTTTGGATACTTTAGTATCCCAATTTTTACATGCAATCTGATTGCAAACCTATGAATAGGGTTTGAACTATTGAATAGGAATTAGGGTTCCTATGGCTCATAAATCCGCCTCTTCTATTCTCGGATATATCATCCGAAAAAAATCAGACGAAGACTTTTTAGGACTACGTACTCAAATTACATTTTCTCCACTCTTACTCTTCTGTAATCTGTGGTGCTAAAAGTGATAGACTGTATAAGTCTGATATATATTATCTATGCGGCTACGTGTTTTAATGTTACAATCTATGGACAATGACATTTCTGAGTTTTACCTGTGTCTCAATGTTGTTAAAAAGAATTGTTACAAAAAAAATATTTCTGTAATATATTAAATAAAAAAGAAACAAAAACATAGTTACAGACTCTATTGGATTATATTTGTGGATATATAATATTATATAAAAATGGCAGGTTTCCAAAATCCAAACGATTACTCGTGGCAACCTCCTGAAAACAGTCAGAATTACTCATTTAATGCTTCCAACACTTTCGGAGATGCTTCTCAAACATTGGGTAATTTAAATGTTTATTTTATATTTAGTAACAAATATAGTTGAACGAAATAACAATAGTAATTTTTTATTTGTAGACTTTCAAACCTTTGCGCCCGAGCAACAAAACTTCTCATACGATCAAGGACCAAATGTGCCTGCTAATAACAATCAGTACTACAATCCTAGTTTGTTTACACCAGCTCCAATACCAGGGGAGCCAGCTGCAGCGACGTCAGAGTTTGATGAACCGCCTTTACTGGATGAATTAGAAATTTATCCAGATAGAATTCTTGAAAAGACTTTAGCTGTTCTAAATCCCTTTCATGGGCAATCTAAAGCAGATGATGCAAACTTTTTGCTTAGGGATACTGATATTGCTGGCCCAATAGCTTTCTGCCTAGCCTTAGCTGTCTGTTTATTTCTTTCTGGAAACAAAGCACATTTTGGCTATGTTTATGGCTTATCGATGATGTCTGTCATATTAATGTATTTTCTTCTGGCATTGATGAGCCGTACTGAAGGTGTTTTTACACTTTTAAGTGTTGCAAGTGTTTTAGGGTATTGCATGCTACCCATGGTAGCGTTAGCTAGTCTCGGGATATTCATCTCGTTAGAGGGAACTGTAGGTTTATCCTTGTCAGCTATTGCTGTTATATGGTCAGCATTGTCTGCAAGTAGATTATTTGTTACTATGTCTGGAGATGCCGAGCAGAGGCCACTGATAGCATATCCTTGTGCTTTAGTCAATGGAGTATTTGCGTTATTAGTTTTGTTTTAATAATTTTCATATACCTTTATATGTTTGTTTCTGTCATATTTATCTCTTAAAGTTATTTTACAAAGTTAGTTATTTAAAAAATATTTAAAGTGGACATGGACATACATACATGATACATGAACTATTATATGTAGAGTGCATAATTTTACTGGTTTTCGTTATAATTACATAACAGCATACTTTTATAAGATTTCTAATAAATTGTTATAAAGATCAGCATCTTTCTTATTTTACAAATATTCCTCACACACCAAACTTAACTATTATTGCAAAAAGAGTTCTAAAAGGAATTTGTAATAACAAACTTAAGGCTGTAAAATAATATTTTATTTGGTTTAGAGCAATATAAAATTTAATTCTATAGTAATAACTTTAATTACCCATGCAGGTCACTATTGAAACAGAATGTTGCACTACATGTATAAAAAAAAATATTTGTGACATTTCGAAAAGGAAAAAATTCTTCAGTGAAGGTGTGTTTGGTTGATTCAAAATAAAACTGTACTTAACACAATTACCAGTGAAAATATATTAATAAATATGCTATTACACTAATCATTCACTATTTATATATTGTTGGTCGATCGCTGAAGAAGTTTTTGAGGATCATTACTTGAGCAAATGTGACACAGAAAATTGCCAATGTTTCTCCAATTGACCACCAAAATACTCTTTCATTTAAATCTTCAGCCCTTTTGCGGCCTTGGGCTTCTCTTAATCTATGGTGTGTTTGGTGATCAATAATCCTATTTAAAGCTGAATGTATTTCTTCTGCGGATGTTTCCAGCTAGAACAAAATAAGAAATATTTAAAGAAAACAGGTTTAAAAGTTGCACTGAAATTAAGTCAAAAGTAAAAGTGATTGAAGGTCTTTGAGAACAAGTATTTACCTGTGTAAGTACAGTTGCATGATCACCAACTCCTGGCAGAGGTGTCTCAGGACCAACATTTAGTTCCATGTAGACAAGTTTATGAGAAAATGTGCTAAACTCATTACTGAAACATACCTTATATACACCTGAAATTTATTCAATACTTGTATAAATTGTTATACAATAAAATATAACACTATATTTTAAAAATGAAATGTAATGCTAACCTGTATATTGTGCAGTAAATTGGTGGGAATCATATTGCATCTTCTGTTGTTGGTAAATTATTTGTTTATTAGGACCCTCTATTTTAACATCAACATCATATTGGCCCCCAGTGATAACCTTGAAAGATAACATACATTTGTTAAGCTACTTCGATGTTTAGAAATGCAAATATAACATAGGAATTCAGCCAATGCTTATGTTATGGTTGTTATCCGCTTTGATGTTTAATGACATTTAGGGAAAATTTATGAATAGTCATATTTCGGAATTAATATGTAATACATTATGTTTACCTGGTATTCTAATGAAGCCGAGGTATCCTTTTCAATGTCTTGATAGAAACATTCTTCGGCGCTGTCTGGTAACTCAAAAGTTAGTTCGACACTTTTGGAAAATATGCCATCGATCAGTAAAATGAAAACAGTGAATATTAAACTTTTAACAAACATTTTTTAATTACAATTGCTATACGACTTTTACCGCACATGAAATATTAAATAGCTTTTTAAAATTTTGCTTTAGCTAATTCGTTTTCAACATTCACTTGACAGTGACGGTGACAGTTATAACAACACATCATGAGTACGTGACGTTGTTTAGGTGCGTTCATATATACAATATGTAATTAAAATATATTTTTAAGCGATTAACATTTGAAATGTAATTAGACATGTTGTATAAATTACAATATTACATTTATTTTATAGTTTTTACATTTGTCATTGTGATTAGATCTATAGGATGTTCGCTGTAGCATGGTGCGGTTGAAAGTTTAGTCGGACAAATGTTGGTGATGTATTGCTACAATGGAGAATGGATAGTCGATGTATTTATCATAAAATCGTATAACAGTAATAAGAAATAATGACAATTTAATGAACACTTTATTTATTATTTTCATTTAAATTATATCTATCAAACATATTACTATATGCAGATTTAGAATCCTTAAAACTGAGTGTTAGTACATCCGCGGAAGTATATTCGCGCATAACAACGTCTAATAAATATCAATTTAATAATAATTATCCTTATAAACTCATAACAACGTTCAAGAGAACAAGGTTTGAATGAGTCCCTACCGTAGTCATTTGATACTTACTATAATCATTGACTTGACGCAAGTATAAAAAACGGCGATTTTCGTATAATTTATAAGCTATAGTCTATGTAAAGTAAAAAATCATACAACAAATTTTATCATTTTCATCATCATTCAACAAATTTTAAATGACAAAATACAGATTAAAAATATATAGTTATCATTCAAAGCACCCTCGTTCTTATCATGATTTTGGTTTACTTTATACATAATATTCGTTACATACAAAAATACAAATCTTTTCTCTTTATAATATTAGTGTAGATGAAGAATATAACGCTTTCCAAAGCTTTTTAATTGATTATTGTTCTATATTTTTGGACTTCAGGAGAGCATATGTTAGTCCTATTTTTTGCGAATCTGTTGAATTTCCATTTTATTTCATTAAGTATTACAATAAAGCAAGTCTTAAAGACAGTTAAATAAAATAACCTTAACGGTAAAACAATTTATTTCAAAAACCAAGACGTTACAAATGGAAAAGTCACATTCTCACTTAAAAGTTTAACAAGGTAAAAGTATAAAAGCCACGATTTCAAGAAATTAAATACTGTGAATATAATGTCTTATGAGTAACGACTCAGGTGCATGGGGAGCTAAATGGGAGTCTTTAAAATGCAGACAATACTTTAAATTCGTATTAAAATGGCTTAGAAAGCGAGACCGGCATCCGCGTACGTTGTGACGATTTTCTCGATCGAGTTGGCGTAGGCCGCTGTTCTTAGGTCCAGCCCAAGGTTGAACTTCATTGCTGTCTTCATGATGGCCTGCAAGAATAAGATTATTATAGAATAGAAGACATTAATATACGCAGAAATTTGTATTACGTATATTTGCCTTAATATCTGAAGAAATGATCAAATCGTGAGAATACTGATATATCTCAAACTACATATTCAAATGATTATCATGTGCTAAATGCTTCATCATGTCACTGGTTAGATTATCCATCTTAAATTTTTAATTACGACTTGCATTGTGTAGCTTCAAATTTCCGAATTAAATTATTATTATTTTTTTAATTAATTAAGGTAAATTTTGGTAGACCAATAAATTATAAATAAAATCTCAAGATGATGTTAGGAAGTTTGATAGTGAGTAGATTCTTACTCTAGCTGATCGCTCCATGGTGTAGTCAAGTCCTGAGTGTACAATATCCTTCTCGCTGGCTCCAGAGATTCTCTTTTGGAAGGACTCCGAGGGCGTGACAGGAATGCGGCCTCCTACGCGTCCGAAGCGGCGCTCCAACGACTCTTGTACGGATTCTGTTAGAAAAATAAAAATAGTTAACGTCATAAATTCATGATATGTGTTGGGCCTCAAATTATGTGTGGACCGAACGACTACCCGAAAAGCCAGGCTAAAGCTATAACGCCACGTTTCATTTAATACTAGCCTCGACATACTAACAAAAGCAACTATTTCTACTACACAAACCAAATCTGTATAATCATTTTAAAAACATAGATACACACACATGGATATATTGCTCAAAGACAGGTATGTATTGCTTTTAGGTTTAAAGAAACTGTCTAACAACAAAATAAAATTTTAATCTTTGCTTTACTAATACTGTAACCAGTGTGTGTGTGGGTCAAAATTTTGATATGTATGAGAAAATCATAAATGAATTTACCCAAGAGGTGGTAGTTGGACTCCCTTTCATATTTGAAGGTAAGACGTCCGTACGAGACGTGGTTGAGGTTCTTCAGCCACTCGAAGAAGGAGACGGTGACACCACCAGCGTTTATGTATAGGTCAGGGATTACTAGAATGTTGCGATCGATCAGGATCTTGTCTGCGGCGGGAGTGGTTGGACCGTTAGCAGCTTCGGCAATGATCTGTAAATCATTTAAACATATCATTCCAATGTTCATACCAAAAGTTTCCGATTACCCAATACAATAAAAAAGACAGTTAACAAATCAAGGACGTATGAAAGCAGATAAGAAATTACCTATAAACATTTAGTTTAAGAATATAATTATTAGTCATTAGATTCAAAGAACTTTTATGAAAGAGATGGCCTCGATTTTCTTTCCCTAGTTAGTGTGATTGATATATCGATATATCATGCTATATGTATTTGAGCTATTATGCTAAAAGCGCTATTTTCGGACAGCTTAAAGAGGACAGTATTAAGAATTCGACCAATTTAAAACGGCTGTAGGCACAATGGACAAACAAATATAATACCTTAGCTTGTATCTTGTGAGCGTTTTCCTTGTGGATGACCTGTTCAACAGCAGCCGGCACCAGGATGTCGCATTTCTCGTAGAGCATGTTCTCGCCTTCGTAGGCTTTCGCCCCGGGGAATCCGACGATTGTGCCATTCTCGATTCTATAGTCTTCAAGAGCCTGGGTGTCATATTTTATTATCAATTTCTAAGTCGTGAAGAAAGAAACGTTACAAAAATATAATGAAATTGAAACGGGTCTGTTAAAATGTAAATGCCAACGGTAAAAGTTAGGTTCTTAAGTATACCAAAACAAAAATTGAATTTTTGACTACAAAGGTGTATTTTTGTGTTTGTAATTTCAAATTTATTTGTCAGTGTATTTTCTTCTCAAGTAGTTGGTGGTGCAAAATGACTATTAGTTGTTAATTTTTTTTGAGACTTAAGTTCTAAAACAGCAGGCCAGTGTTTAAATAGAATTAATACACATAATGTGTACTATTACGATCGGTATTTCATCATGCAACTACATACAAAGTACACATATTTGTTATGTAAACAGTCAAAGTTAAATATTTGAAAGCGAGTGTATCTTATTGGTCACGTTACGAGCATGCGTGATTCGCTCATGAGGCACAAGGCTATAGTGACTCTAATCTACCTATTTCTTATAATTATTTGATAACATCTGATAGTTCAATGTTTTGTCTACTCAGTTTTCGAGCAAGTAATCACGGTACATCAATGATATGAACGTGTGATCTAACTTAATATCATTATAGCTTAAATAGAACACAATTAACGGGTAAATATGCGTATACGTATAACAACTCAACAACACAGCAGGTGTGGTTGCGGGGGCAATATTTACCTACCGCTTATTCCATAAAAATAGTTAGTATTAACGTAAAATGAAATTTATAATTATTTAGTCTATTTATTTGTAAGTGTTATCTTAATTATATTGCTTTCCAAAAATGTGTGTAAATAAATACATTTATTTGGTAACTAAAAAGTCCTTATAGTCCCGCTAAAAAATACCCACACTTGCAAAAATGCGATCGTATGATTTTATTTACGAATCATATTTTTTCATCATTAGTTTTTATCTTTGTCGGAGTTACGATTCTAACGATAATGATGAATGGGCTCTTCAGCTTATCAACGATAATGATTTTTCAACGATATCAATTCATTTATTAGAATCGTATTAATTTTCAAGATCAAGCCCAATATACAGCAGTCCATGAACACTACTGTTCAAATAACTACCTACAAAAGATCATTGAGAAAACTTTGTTTTCGTAATAGTTTATACCATGTAATAATGTGACAATACGATGTAAAATTAGACAGAATTACTAAATTAAAATGCCGGTTGTAACAATTGAGGTCATTAAATACGTCACTTTGAGTTTCCTCGCCAATTTAACAACAAGCAATGTTATGAGAATATTAATACGAGATAAGCTAAATTATATGAATTTTTGAACTTTATGCGGTAGAATTTAGTGATTGGCTTACCAAAATTATTATACCGTTGGGATCGTTTTTTGTCGCGAAACATATTCGAAAATAAGGATATAATATTATATGGATTAGGCACTTAGTTTAAAAACATTTAACATTATTCACATAGTGGCATTGTATAGATTAAAAAATTCGACATGGGACAGTTGGTTAAAACAGTAACATAGAACGTTGTGTATACTGGTTCAAGTCCCGGGCGTGTCGTACCTAATATTCAAACTTAATAGATTTTTTAGGCACATTTTATAGAGCAAGATATTAAAGCAGTTATTTATTATTTTTGATGTCGTAGTGACTGATATTTTGAATATTGATTTTCTTAGGTTTATATTAAAAATCGAAAATAAATTGAAAATATTTTCGACTCTGGCAGGACTTGAACCGGCATCGTCAGCATTCCGTGCTTTTGCTCTACCAATTGGTATATAGTGCGTTCATGTAAATAATGTTTTCAACGTTTCTTAGGTTTGTTAAAATGTATAATGACAAAAATAAAATACAGAGCTAATTATTGTTTAATAAGTACAGTTCGTCACTTTTTTGAGTGATAGTTTTCTTAACGTATACTCTAGCTGTTTGATAGTATTAAATAAATAAAATGTTAAGATAAATGTCCTGATAGTTGTCAAGAAGTTATTTTTATCGAAAAGGGTGGTCTCACCTTAGGGTCGATACCGTCTGGGTTGTGAATAGCACCGTCGTGTTCAATGATACCAATGCAGGTAGCCCCTGCGCGTACTAAGTACCGGCATGTGTGGAGACCCACGTTACCAAAACCTTGCACGATGAAAGTCTTACCGCCCCAACCGGGTGTAGTACCTGAAGAACCAGAAAGAGAAATGCCCTCAAAATCTATTAATATTTAACAATAGTTAGCAAAGAAAACTATTAGAGGTTATTCTTATATGGAACCACTTAGCGTTGCGAATTTTTTTAGGCCGACCTAGTCAAGGGTTGAAAAAGGATTTTGATTGAATATTAGAGAAGTAAAATAATTAATTTTGTATCTGTGTCAACGTAATATAGAAAACATAGTTCTTGAGGCATTCAAAACTAAATTAAGGGCGTACAGAAAAATTCGAATAAGTTTTTGTTCACGCCTTTTTTGTATTAATATTTATGTGTATTAAATTTTAGAAACAATATGTTTGTAAAATAAAAATAAATAAGTAATGAGTAAAATACTAATTGCGTTTGTTCCAAACTTTAGTTCCAACTTTTTTGTAGGTACTCAATGAAACAGTTAAAAATATTACAACAATCATGTCGATTAATTATCTTTACACTTTATCTTCTTTTGTAAATAAGTAATAATTTAAATATCTATATTCTATATAAATACAGATAAAAAAATACGGCTACGTAACTGTCTAGTACTGATAAAATTAAATGTTTTAGAGTATTAATAGTTATATTGTCAAAAAAAAAGAATGTTTATTTAAATTTAAAATTGATCTTTTGTGACCTTTTTGAACCGAATCATTTTGTGATAAACGATATCACGTACACACTACGCTTCCTTTACTAAATCTTTTTATATCTTAAAAAAAATGTGTTATTAAAAAATTCAAATGCCTAACCTATTTAGCAAAAAAAGTATGCATAGAATATAGAAAATTTCAAATTACGAGTGACAATTGACGTGGCTATTGATATGTACTTTTTTGACTCACCAATCATGCTCATGTAGTTAGCTTCGTTGATGAAGTTCTCCAAACCGTGGAACACTCCTCTGCCAGTGGCAGACACTCTTCCGTGGATACCACCCTGTAATTTAAAAGTATCATAACTATCAGTACTTCTTAAAATACACTGCAAACATTACTTACCTTACAATACAATAGTTGTCATAACAATATTAAATAAATATAGATTCATCAACGTCGCCTAACATATGGCAGCGCGAATATTTATATGAAGATGTCATTTGACACCAGTTGTACTGATATCAGTGTATACAGCGAACTAGAACTAACTAAGAAGCACTTTTCGGAAATCATTTAGGAAGTCTCATACAATGATTTGTATAGAATAACTGAAATTAGTTAAATGATTATATTATTTTTCGTTGCATAATTTATTTAAATAAATTCGTAATTAAAGACTAGCGTAATGATTTATGTTTATATTAGAAAATGACAAAAAACCTGTGCCATTCAATAAACACGTTTTAAGGTTCAAAACGCGAAATATTTACATTTGACTGATTTTTAACGATCCGGCGTTTTGGATATTGTTATATTTCATTGTAAATGTATTAGATGTGGTTCTAGCCGTATGTACCTCTGATATACACGTTAAAGCTTATCTTTAGCAATAAATGAATTATCCTGGACATAGGCAAGTTTTAATATGACAAGTAGGTTTTAGACCAAAACACGGCAAGACATTTTCAGCATGTAATATTTCCATGATCGGTAAAACATGTACCTAGCATAAATTAGCAGTATCAATCTGTAATATTAGCGATTATAAATCACCTGGTTAATGGGTTTTCCGGTAACACACGCATGCGCATTGATGTCCTGGAAACCGATAGTCTTCGCGTACGTGTCGGCGATCCATGACATCTCTCGCTCGCCGGTACCCATGTCAGGGGCTGGTACATCCACACCAGGCCCTGTAAAAACATATATAATTATGATCTAGAATCCTTGAAATTAATTTGACGGGCTCGTTGATGTGATGATGCATGCCTAATCATCAACGAGTCGTCGATTAACACCGGGTCCGACATGTTACAATTCATTTTATAATTTTCCTGAAACAGGTTGGACTGGGTCTAGATATCTGGATTTTTAAAGGATGGTACGAATGTCAAAATTCGATTCTGTTTACGAACTACCTATCCTAACTACTACTGCAGGCGAAAAAGCCGTAAATCGCGTTTCCGTATCAGTCTGTGGATTTCCGAAAAGTTCGACAGCCCTTCTTGTCAGATATTACATGACTTGTCTATCCTCTATCATAAAAAAGAACTACCGTGATTTATAAAAGCAAAAATAAAATGACAAATTAGTTTTTACACCATGATCTTGTTACAATTTTATTTATCTGGGTTGGTATTATGTTGTAATATATACTAACTTCTAATATGCTGAAGAGTTTGTTTGTTTGAACGTGCTAATCTCAGGAACTACGGGTTCGAGTTGAAAAATTCTTTTTGTGTTGGTTAGTTTATCTCTTTGGGTTTCAGATGCGTACGCTGCAACAACGGTTCAAATGCCTAAAAATTGGGGAAAGAATGATTCCTCTTCAAATTATCTAAATAAAGTCAGTGACTTTTTAAACGTTAACTTGCAAGAACGAAGGGAAGGGACGCGATCGACGTCGTGGCTAATAGTTTAAGTTTATAAAGATAGAAGACGGGGTTTGCAAAAACTTTGGATGCCCAAAATAACGATTCTCGCGGACGAAGTCGCTGGCACAGCTAGTATATTATATAAACAATCGTCTGCAAACCAAATGATTTTGATACCGTTAATCAAATTCAAGACTTCACGCACTGCTCGCGACGGAAACAGTCATGGAGAACGAATTAAACTAGCTTGTAACAGAGCGTCTAATTAGTGAACTTTTTGTAGACTATATAATCGTTACAGTCACGGTTCATTAGTAACGTATTAATATAAAATGTAGAATATTACGATTAAAATCAAGACGCGTTATAACTATAAGATAGATATGTTTGTATATGTCTGTAGGTCCAGGGTATAAATTACAGCAAAATGTCAATTCGGTATTTGTATTTTTTTTGTGTACCTACATACTATACTGAGTAACGAAGTTTAAAGCAGGTGTCCTACTCACGCTTAATTGAAAGCACGTTTAATGGGATGAGAGCCCAATGAAATAATAAAAGTAGTCATTACAGTGTATTTAGTGTATATACGTTATTAGAAAATTTAAAAATACCATAACTTTTAAATAAAATAATTTTCTAACGGAAAGAAAAGACCACAACAAAATAACCGACTTTCAAACGGTGATTCCTAGTGATATATTTTACAAAGTGAAGTTGAATGACCCACATAACAACAAGATAACAAAAGGAATCAAAAATCATTAGTTTATATAGGAACCTAACGATCATATTATAAAATTAATATTATATATAATATTTAAAATTACTTCAATAACGCCTTTTTTTATTTATTTTTTTTTCAGAATGATTATTAAACTCGACATTTCTAAACTTTAGCGATCGTGCATGAGTTATGAGTAGAGACTTCTACCTTCTATTATCGTTGTCGTAAACTTATATACCATCCCTAGTGTAAATGTTCATAACAAAACAATTTGTAATAATTTACGATGAAACAAATATATAATCCAATGTATCAAAGTGTTTTTAATGTAAACCTTGTGAGAAAATCACGATTTCATGTAAATTGTGTGTTGTTTACCAAAAATGTCATGTTAAAAAAAATACACTACGTTATCACGTACGCATAACATCAATCATTTTAAATTTACAACGCGTGTAGGTTATTTCCATACGTATAGTGTGTTCCTTATGTAAAGCAACGTACCTAAATGTAATTAGGTATGCTTCAAGTAATTAAATCATACAACTAGGTACCATTTTTGTTATCAGGTAAACGCTTGTAATATGCACGTCATCCGCATGGAATCCTATAAACCTGTGCAAAGTATGGCTTCAAATTGTTTCGACAATGAAAAGAGATTTGTTCTTTTATAGACGCCCTTAGAAACGGGGTTTATTTTTACAAAGCCCATGAGGGTCGCGGATAATATTCTTAAGGAGCTTATCTGTTAGAAGATTTTTTTAACAACTACTCAAGTGACAATATATACTGCGTATTGCTAAGAAAAGAAGATTTTCAATGGAACTTATTTTTAACTAACGTTTTATTTTTAGTGATAGAAAAGGACAGACAAGCATGAGGTCGACTTGATTTTTGGTGAAATACCTCAGCCCTTTAACTCGTACGATCTATCGACCTTTTGGACTTTGGATAATTGGAAATCCACAGACTGAAACCGAAACGCGATTAAACTTAACGGCTTTTACATCTGTGTACGGTGGTTCGTAACCCGGATGGAAATTTGATATTTCTTCTACAAATTTAACAACCAAATTTCCAGACGAAGTCCAATATATTTAGAAAAATTATAAATTGATTTGAAACATGTCGGACTGGGGGTCCTACCACCTGGGTCACTATCAGCCATAGATGGCTACCATTACACCTAAGAGCCCGTTACAACGTTACGGTTCTAAAAGACGCACAATGCCTTTCAATAACAGAAATATACATTTCGTCATTCTATGCCCAATGTAAAATTGTCAATCTTAAATACAATGTTTTCTGATGTTACTCAGTTACATATTTGAATAAATGGTTTTTTCATATAATTTTGAATTTGTATTGCACACAGTACCTACACAGTTATCAATTATTATTATTACTTGTGTTTATGTGAATCGTTATCAGATGTTTTCAAAAGAATAGTTACTATTCGTACTTATCAGATTTGATAAAGCAGTTAGGTAACGTCTTATTTTGAATGTGTTTTGTTGCTGTGTACGTTATCTCAATGTTAAGTCTGACGTTTGCTTATCGCACTTTCGATTCTTTGAAATATCAGAATGAATTTAAGCTTTCTGCTCAACAACAATGACTTCATCTTTAGGCGTGTGACTACGTGACAATTTACACTACCCACTAATGCGCCAGACACGATTAATTCGCAAATCCATATAATCTTATTAGCTTTAGTTATTTACTAAAATAAAGATCGTCGTTATGCAATATATTGAACCGCGCGTCATAACCACACCTCTTCGTTGCTATACCGTATCTACAGTCTATTTTTACACGAAACACATGACTTTCAATACAAGACAAGAAAACATTATAGATAAAATTGTTAACATAACATGTTTACAGTTTGCCACTTTAATCTCTAACATCACGTTAGTAATGTAGTTAGTCATGTGGTTCTATTAAATTGATTTATGATTAAATTTTAAGATGTTTTTTTACCATTTAGACATTGAATTGAACATTTTCGATACGGGCTACCGTGTCTAGTCAATTGATTACAGCAGCAAGGAACGTTGTGGACGCCAGTTCAAGTATCTTCCGAGTAATCAACAATTAGTTCAATGTAAATAAAATAATATAAAACTTGTCAAATATTTACGAAATATGACATAAACTTCCCTCCACGTTTCTCTTTTTTTTAATCAATTGTAAATTCCAGCCTTTAGTACGTGTTGTTATATAGCGGCAACAGATTTGTAAAAGGTTCTTAAAATACAATCTGGTGCCAGAGAAACAGATAAACAGCGAGGTCTTAGTAAAGAGGTTCTTTTTCTATTGAGAATGGAATTCTACAAAACAATGTTTTCTATGATTTGAATCCAGAAACTCTACTACTAATCGCTTTGGAAGGGGGGCTCGTTCAAATAACACATAACTGTTCGGATATCTATAGCATACGGGTTATAACATAATGGCTTACCAATGAAGCCCTTCTTAGCCAACTCCAAGGTGAACCGACGTGTGATCTTCTCCAGTTCATGTTCTGAGTACTCTTTGGGGTTGATCTTAATACCGGCCTTAGCACCTCCAAATGGGACGTCTACGCAGGCACATTTGAATGTCATCAACGCCGACAGAGCCTTCACTTCGTCCCTGGTTACGTCAGTTGAGAATCTTATACCTGGAGACAAATATATAATAGTATCATTATTTTTGTTACGTAAGCGAGTAAGTGTAAATAGGCGCGTATGGGTTTAAGCGATAAATAACAATTACAACTAAGACAGGATTCTTACGATAGGAAAAACAATATTTGGGATAAGGATTTTTTTTTCATTATGGATTTAGGAATTAAGTCTTACAATGAACACACAAAAAGGTGAAACCATCAACAACCACCAGCTTTTAAAATGGTAATATCACATTAAAGTTAGTTTAAGTACGATAACCATAGAAAAGTAAGCGTTGTCGTGAACAGTAATTTTACGCTATTTTCGCATTTTTGTAAAAAAAGAGCAAGAAATGAAGCCAAGCCCGGACTATTCGGGCCAACTCAGCTAATAATAGTCTACAATACGTTGAAAATGATCTTATTTTAAGATTGAATTACTTTTGAGACACTTTTTTGCTTATACATGTTTGCTTATGTTAAATGATACCTCAGCGAATAATGTAAAAAACATATATTTATGGTTACATACTAGATAACGATTATTTCATGTTAAACTACAGTAAGGTTTAACTATAGCAATAAGCGCGGGCAAAGCAACAAAATCGCTTGCTATAAGTCGTTGATTACAGTATCTATACATTGACGACATTTTTTGTCATGTCATTCAACATAATCATATCAACCGAGTACCTACATAATAAGCCTCAGACAGAGATAAGCTTGTAAAAGAAAACGTGAAAAATTTCAGGAAAATGTGAATTTCTATATTACACAACCAGAAGTGACGTAATATTCGTCAGAACCACGCCCCTTGTTGCTAACAGCGTGGCAAATTAAAAATGCCAAATCATACGAGTTTTGCGATCGTAACTTTTAGATAATGAGATATAAACTAAGATCGCGGTTCTTGACATCGATGAGCTTGTTTCAAATTAATGAGGCGCGACAAGATTTTGATTGATTGTTAGTTCTCTAGGTTAAATCTAAAAATATTTTGTTAAAAAGGCGACATGTTCTACGGCCACAAAAACAAGTTATTACGTATTTATAATTCTCACCTATAATTTGATGGAAAATCTATCAATTTGTAGCTAAGAAGTTAATTTAACATTATTAGTCGCTTTTTGGTTAGTTTAGGTCAATCTTTGTTCCTCGTGATTATTTTTTGTTATAAAAATGCTATAATAGAATTTATAATGCGTTTCTAAAAATGAATAAATAAGAGATATTGTCTTCACCTTATATGTGCATATACGAACATGTATATATCTCCCTTTGTCTTGTATTGTTCATTCAAAATCATGATTAACTATCTGCGCACGCGTTATTAGCAATGCGACAATGTAAGGGCTTTAAATATAGAATCGACACTCAACTGCGCGTCTGAGGTTCGGCACATTTAATGTAACCTGTTTCATTTCGATTCAAACCTAGTAGCTATATATTTTTATCGTAGTCTGTTTTCAATTATGGTATACATTGCATATTGTTTACAAATACACACTTGGAGTGCCTCTCGTTTAACTACTCTATCCCATTTCTGATATTCGATTGTTAATATTGTCATCTAAGTATTGGATATTGTTTTAGACACTATTAGTAGCAGGATAGCTAAATTCAAATATTATTTTAGAGGTTCATTGAAGACTTATAAGAAAGCCCTCAAAATTATGCATTTACTGTATTATTAGTAAATAGTGTAAATAGTCTAGACGGGAGGATTACATTTTCAAGTACATTAAATTAAAATTTATTGTATATCAAAGCATATACATATATCAGTTTTACATATTTAAGACGGCATGACGCAGGTGATCCGAAAATGACTACAGGATATTTGAGGTAGACAAAAACAATTTTGTTGTTAAGCGAACTGCGAAATCGTAACAAAAAAGGCCCCCTAACAACGCCGACACCTCTGTAAACAGCTGCTTTATTTTGTCGCTTTTGTTAAAAGTACAAAATCAATATCTTCGCTCTGCAATTTTTAATTATAGAACTATTACATTTAAGAATACTGGCTATTGATTTCTTAGGTGTTTATCCAATTCACTAAATTGCTTGTTGAGTATCGTAAACTAACTACCTAGGGGAGATAAAATTGGGCCCTACAAAGCAAAATACCTGCATTGTTACGTAATATTAACATCTCTTATATAACAAAACAACGACATTTAAACTTAATATTATCTATGACTGTTATTAATGTTGGAGCGACAAAAACCGGTACATCGTAACATATGTTAAGGAAGTCAATACAATGATTGCGTAAATTAAAGCCGGCATGGCATAACAATTAAATGTTATACAAAATAGTAATAACGGGTTTTAAGGAATTAAATTATATATATTCACTTGTGTCCAACCATACTTAGTATAAGACATGTTTTAAAGAAACAGATAAACAGTTAAACAATTATTCATTCAAGGAATTTGAATAATTCCTTAATTTTTATATAGTGATACTAAATACACTCAAGAATAAGATAAAAATAAAACACTGTGAAATATAAATATTTTAAATTAGATATAGTATTAGGTATATTGTATCTATTGTTAGTAGCTTAGTTTATTTCATAAACCATTATACATCGTGTTTTGGTTTATTTCTGCAATATATTAAAAGCTATTTAAGCAATAGAGAGCAATATTTAAGAACATTTTTACAGGTTATAGGCCTGTTAATTTGGTTATCTACGTAATAGCAAATTGAACAATCACGTGTTTCGCGTGCTATTAATATATTATATAGATCGCGACCCACAACAACTATGTTCGACATCATATTATTTTAGCAAACGTATTTAAAGCCAAACTATCTATATTAGCTAGATATAACATACAACTTACCTCCTTTAGTTGGGGTTCTGTGTGAGGAATGTTGAGCTCTGTATCCAAGGATCATTTCATAATCGCCAGAGTCGCGTCTCAATGGGAATTGTATTTCGATGATGTGGTCGCACGGCTGCATCATGTTAAGAATACCGGCTACCTTCTTCTTTTTCTCTTCAATCGGTACCCTCGACTTCATGTCTTCTACGAGCTGGTCTTCGACGACTTGGCGCGCCCTGTGGAAGAAGTACTCCACCATGTCGAAGAATCGAGGGTTAGCGCTGTTCGGTATGTCTTTGAGCCTGTCTGGAATCTCATGATTCGCGTATGTTCTGCAAACGTTCACTGCGGCAGGCGCGATTTTGAGGATATTATTGACTGCGTCGTTTTGAATTGTGTTTTTGAGAGGCGGCGATACGGCCTTGGCGATGTTTTTTAAGTGTAACATTTTGATATAACAATTAAGTACTATATGTCGGGTTAGGTTTCGGGTCGCCCCACACTTACAAAATACACGAATTTCTTAACTGGTATTAATGAACTGCAGAGACGACCCGCCCCGACGGTAAGCGAGTCTACGACTATGTCGTGGTGCTATGCGTCAGGTTACAGCTACGAGAACCGATCTTTCCGGTATCCATAGAGCGCAGACTTGCATACCAATATGATACGGGCATAAATTAAGGGCACAGCCGACTACGTTTTGAAGATTTGTCATTAAAAAGCGATATTAACAGCGCCTACAAAGTTTATTATAAATTTGATTACATTTTTAGAAAAATAGGTGTCATATTACTTTTTGCTTATGAAATCTTTTTATTGTTAGAAGGTAACGCACGTCAACGCGGGCGGTAGTAATAACAATGGTATGTCAATTGTCAACAAACATTTTTGGGAGTCTGACTACTACAAGGTAACAAGTGACAACATACAAAAGTAGGATGGAAGATGCTTCTTTGTTTAATGTTTATTAACGTATTATTAAGTAGACTATTTTATTCGTCAGTTGTGTGTTGAATTTTCGCCAATAATTTCTGAAAACACATAAGGTAATGAGTTGCATTATTTGAATTTGATATCTGCGCACAACAAGAAATATATTCGATGTAAGTACAAAATAGTTCTTTACTTTGTTATTGTTTAATACACACGAATAAATGGAGTTAATTTTTAATAGTGAACTTTAAATAATAAGAAAAAGCCATTATTTCTCAGATCCTCGCCGCTAACTATGGATTACAAAGACGTAAATGCGATAGAAATTAATCACTTACCGGATGAAGTGTTAGGCCTAATATTTAAGTTTCTTCCTTTAGAAGATGTCTTAGCCTGTGAAAATGTTTGCAAAAGGTGGAAAAAATTATCAAATGATCCCATATTGTGGAGAAAATTTGTTATTGTCTTTTCTGGTAAGCCTGGACAGAGTGAAGTCAGTGCGAAAAATTTTGAGATCATCTCATCGCATAGCACATTTATTTGCGCTTTAAAAATACAGTATGTGTACAACTATTCAGACATAAAAAGCATTCTAGAGAAATGTCTAAACTTAACATCATTAGAACTAGTCATGTGCAGAATAGGCAGTGATTTTAAAGATGATATTGAAGAAAGAATACATCTACAAAAGTTGAGTTTAAAAAATTCTATTCAACTATCAAGTGATGAAGATTGGTTGCTTCCATTTCCTAAATTAAAGGAATTGAAATACTTGGCCTTATCAGATTTTGGTCTCTCGTCTCTGAATTGTGACACATTATTAGATTGTACCAACCTCAGTCATATTTACATTGAAAAGATAAAAGATCTAGATATTGACTTTATGAAGAAACTCATACAATCCAAGGAGGAAAAACTTGAAACTCTACATGTTTATGGTGGTGACTCTGTTGATGATTCTTGTCTTAAGATGTTGGCTAAATGCACAAGACTTAAGGACTTAGCCATAATTCGATGTGAAGAGTTAACCGATGTTGGCCTTTTGGCTTTAATTAATTTCAAGAGCATAGAGCACCTACAAATATGGAATAACAATAATTTCACAGAAAAGGGGTTACTGCAGACTTTAGGAAGTAATACATTGATAACTTTAGAGAGTCTCAGTTTATCTAGGGTCAGAAATATTTCTCCTATAATTGTAGACATAATTTCAGAGTACTATAAGAATTTAAAGTTTTTAGCTTTGTACCAATGTCCTAGAATCATTAACACGGATTATGAAAAACAGCTTAAATCTAAATTTAGAAATATAGATGTTGTGCTCTATTGAAAATGGAAGTGACATAATATCTAAAAACTTTACATCTTTACATGTTAGATGTGCAAAATTGCATTAGCTTAGAAGGTTCTTAATGTAAATAAAATTACAATACACTTCCAAAACTTAATATATTCACAAAATTATTAATAATGGCATGATCTTTAATTGTGAAAGTATCAAAGATATTAAACAGGTGAGTCATAGTTATGATGGCTTTTAATCTAAAATTTTAAAAGCAATTTTTATTGTTTTCTGTGATAATAACTCAAGTGTTGACCTATAGATTAGTTAATTACATATAAATGTCTAATATATTATTTTCATATTAATATTGTGGTTTTACTTCAGAATAACGCAGTCACAGTATTCAAATATTTACCCAATATAAAATATTTTAGTTATTCAATTGAAGAAATATAATAGTGTTTTTCCTTTGTTTTGTAACGTTTGTACTAAAATTACATCTACACACAATTTGTTTATCGAATTAGATGTCTTGAGTTTTGAAGGTGCACTATCAATCTGATTTTTAACATGTGTAAACCCATGGGGGAAATGACGTCACCATCAAATAACAAGGATTATTTAAAATTTTGTCAAAACAATAGACTATGTTATGTAGTAGACTACATTGTAAGATTTCTTAACTATCCATATTATCAATGTCTTTCAATTGTTCTATAAAAATAAAATTGTTATTTTCCTAGTATCCTATAATAATATTTACAAACAGGTGAAAGATTTTAAGAAAGAACTAATCTATTTACCTATTATATTGTTAAAATATATCTTATTATGCATTAAATTTATGCCAAGGCAAGATAATCCGGTCATTTCAAGCCTACTCGTATCCATATAATTTTGACATAATATTGAATATACAAATATGTTTTTGGTTTCGTGCAGGAACAACGACACAAGCAGGAAAAAGCTTATTAGTAGCGATAAACAATTTATACATATTATGATTAATACGAAACGGAATTGTTAAATAACAATAATGACATATGAAAAATTTGGTTAAATAATTGTAAGAACGAAACATCAAACGCCAGATGTGGTCTCAATTACAAGATACAATCTATATGTTTAAAACAGGACGAATATCTAACATAAATAGGTAATAATAAAAATATTTTTTTTATAAAGATTTATCTAGCAAATATAAATTCAAATTCTTCAGTTTTGCTATTTTCCAAAAAGCTTTTTCGAAGGTTATATAAGCTTGTCACAGTGACGAGGAAAAAAAATATATCAATCAAATATTGTTAGTCTTTAGCGAGAAGTAAAAAAGCAATAGAGTGGATTTACTGCATAGTACAAAAATCAGCTGTGTGTGACCAAACAAAAAATATACTGAAATGCATTTTTAAACGTCGTAACTCGTAATACAGAGTAGCAGATGCGCAATATTGTCATAAGGTGCATTCAAAGAAATCATGTGTATAAAATTATATATTTATATAAAACCTAGTCATTTAACAATAATGATGTATTTTAAGAACAATAGATATTGGTCACAGTATATATACATTGAATTCTTAATTGGGTGATATTAAAAATATCGCTAAGTAACACTATAACATATTACAGTAAACTTAAAAGGCTAATTCATTTACCTGTTAACGTGAGGCAATCATTTTTTTTAAAGACAATATCAACACAAAAATATTTATTATTACGAATTGCCTATAAAGAAAATAAAAACTTTCTGAAGACCCTACACATGTTTACAAAAACAAGAAAATTAAAAAAAGGAGGGTAGAGAAAGTTGGACAAATAATTCAAAATTTTAGCCAATTATTTTATATTTTATAATAGATGAGGACAGACGACCGTGGGTTGAGCTTGATGGTAGGTGAAATATTCCAGGTATCTAATGTCTAAACAAGTGCTGTGCTATTTTAGCTTTGGTTATTGGGAAATCCACAGGCTTTTCTTTTAGACAAACTTTCTTTTCTATGTTAAATAATCCGCGCTTTCATTAATAATAGTTTTTAAATAACAAGCCCCCCCGAAAAAAAAATAGACATATGTATGGTCATCACAAAATTCACATATTGGATTTGCCTTTATTTGGTAAAGATTGTCAAAAGTGTTCTATACAATTCATATTCTATGCAATAATTCAATATTTATAGATAATACAAATATGCTCACATCAATGGTTGGTAACAAGTTTCTTGTACAATCGTTATAGGCATTTACCGCTTCCGGCCACGCATGAATTGCAGGGCTTTTTGCATTAGTGGTGCTTTTTTGGGTTTAACAAACGCTGAGACTGAGGTAACTGGTGAAGGTCTGCCTCCTTTTAGTATATTGGGACCGGAGGCTAGAGCCGCCACTCGCGCTGCTGGGCTCGCAGTGGCCGCAAACGCTGTACCATGCTGCGCCTAAAAATGTTGTTTTTATTTTATTGTTTAATCAAACGAAAAAATTGTAAAAATTTCACCATGTCTTCAAAAAAGTCACAATCATAAAAAATTTAAATCTATTACAAGGGAGAACCTGAAACGGGATCCGCGAAGATTTGTGCTTTAACCAATTGAATATAATTTTTTTTCAATCTAAATATATTATATTTTTAATCTATAAATAATGCCACTCTGCAATTAAATGTGAAAAATAAAAAGTTTTATAAAGTTTGCACTTTAGGTTCAATTACGTTTTTTCTTCTTATTTTTACTGATGGTGTGAATGCCTAATGCACGCCCATGTCGGGCGAGTGTGACGTGAGGAGTGTGGTAAATCGTATATCCCACCAAAACCACTAAACATACCACCAGCCCTCTACGGTGCATTGAGGGAGCCCTGGGCACACGTTTGTACGACTCCAAAGCTCCCAGCAAGTTGATAAGACCCTAATAGCAGCCTAAAATAGCAAGTAGCGATTTACCTGTTTCCTGGCAACACCTCGCGGTGGTTTGACTACTGAGTCAACGTAAGCCATCTTTGTTTGTTTTATTGGCGCTTTCTTCGCTTCTTGGGCTATTTTAATGTTTTCCGTAAGAGATTTCAATTTTATTTCTTGCTCTTCTTGACAACGCTTTAAAATTAGAAAAAAAAGTTGATCAGACATCTGTTTTATCTTTTTTTTTATAATGTGTTAAAAGGCCTTTTGCACAATAATAATGATTTTGTAAAGAAATGCTGTCTTTGTCTACAATAAAGCTACATCACTCAAAAATGTAAACATAGAATGAAAACACAAAGAGTCCTACAATAGCAAAACATAAGTATTCAAAAGCAATTAAAAACTTACCATGTACATTTCCCTCCATGTTTCCATTTCCATCCGTTTCTTGTTTCTAAAATGTTTCTCACAAAACTTTTGCCAGAGATGGTCTGTGTCCTCCATAAGGTAGGGATTATAATGCTCCAACATAAACAGCTGTTGCGGCGTTGCCTTATCAACCACCGGCTTCAATATTTCATATGGCACACCGCCGGTGTATTCAAGAGCTAGAATGTTTGTTTTTTTTATAAACTTTTTTCTTAACTTTGTTCAGTGATTCTATAAGTCATTTGTAGTAGAAAATAAGCCATATATTAGGGTATGGAGCATTTCTTTCAAAGGATTTTTTTTTCTGAAGAAGTTAAGTTGACTAACAGATTTCTGTGTAGTGCCTGACCGAAACTTTTGAATTATATTTATAAATGGTTTACAATGGAAATAATAAAAACAGCATACTGACCGTCAATATGTTCCTGAAGAACTTGAACGCACATTTCGTACAGTGAAGGTATCTTTCCCATCACCTTATTTCCGGAGTACACTTTGGTTCTATAAATAAAATAGGTGTATCAATTAGTTTTATAATTAACATTGATAAAATCCTTTTAACATTTAATCTCTGGATTTAAAGATTTGTATATACACAACTTCATGAAAACAAGCTTTAACAGCATAACATTGCCTTCATTATTTTATAAAGTAATTGTGCGTTTGTATTTGACTTAAAAACTCACCTTTGGTTCTTTGAGGACATGACAGTGCTTAAATCAATATCATCAAAGTGCGGTAGGAACTTCGGAGGTGGTCGTGGTTTGTAGTTGGGTGAAATCTCTGGGAGGGCAGATATCTCTATATTGGGAAGTGGAGCCAGCTTAGCAGTCGGCGCTAATAAGGAAGCTGGGCTGAGCTAAAAATTCGGACAACATTATTTTATATCTTGCTAACAAGTATTGGGTAAATTAAAAAGTCAATATTATTAAATTATTTTGTTTATCATTCATAATAAAAATCTTAAGTTTTCAAACAAGTTTTATTATTAAAAGTTAGTAGCAATTTAAGATGTAGAAAAATATAATTTAATTATAATTACTTACATCACCATTAAAGGAACTATTTGGCGAATGAGTTTCCTTAATACTCTTCTTTTTAGCTTTGACTGGACTCACCATACCTAGTGCCTCTGCAAAACTAGCACCTAAAAGTAAAATAAACACATAAGTAAAAAATATTCATAAATATTATTTTATTGAAAAACAGATATTACCTGATTCACAGCCAATGCCATCATCACTGTCGCCATTGCTTGTCTCATGTGACTTAATCTTTGGTATATCATGTTTTTTACTACTAGACTTATGTTTATCCTTCTGACTACTACTTTCTTTCTTATCACTTTTAGATTTCCTATTACTTTCTTTTGAAGAATCACTTGCAGACTGTTTTTCACTTTTATGCTCTCTGCTTTTAGAGGAAGTTTTGTCTTTTGACTTCTCTGTGCTAGATGAACTGTGCCTTGATTTACTATCTTTTGTCTCTTTTAAACTATCTGAAGAACTCTTATGTTTCTCTTTATCAGATCTGTGTTTTTCTTTCTCGGAACTCGAATGTTTTTCTGGCTTGTTGATAGATTTATCACTTTTAGTCTTGTCTGAACTATTAGATTTATGCTTTTCAGAACTATGTTTACTAGGTGAGTCATAATTTTTCTTTTCTTTTTCTGAGCTTCTTTCTTTCTCGGAAGATCTCTCTTTATTGTGTACTTTGCCATTACTTGAAGACTTTTCTTTCTCTATTTTATGTTTGTCTATACTTTTGTGTTTGCTGGTTGATTCCGGTTTTGATTTCTCTTCTGTTTCAGTTGTTCTTTCCTTATGTGGAAACTTATATTTCTCCTTTGATCTATGCTCTTTGTCTTTTTTGTCCTTGTGTTGGTCTTTGTCTTTGATTTCTTTTGAAGTATGCCTATGCAAATCGTGAGATTTGTGTTTTGGAGCATCTAGGTGTTTAGAATGTTCTGAACTGTGTTTAGAACTTTTGACAGAAGACATTTTATCTGTTTCAGAACTTGAACTTTTAGAATATTGACTGTGACTACTACAATGTTTACTTTGATGAGATTGTTGCTTGTCTGATTTTTCTTCTTTAATTTTTTTTCTAAGACCATTTTTATCATCATTTGAAGAATGTGAGTTATCACTTTCGCTATCACTACCTGATGAACTTTCACTTTCTGAATCAGAATTTTCAGATTTTGTCTCAGGTTCTGATTTGATTCTTAAACCATTTTCATTACCATATGACTTGGATCTTTTTGTTTCTGGTTCATCTTCCTGAAATTAGATAGACACATGAAAGTAGACACACTTAATATAATTTTACAAAGAAATGAAATTACTATGTACCTCACTACTGTGGTATTTTCTTTTGGTCTGATTGTGATCACCATTCATGTGCCTTTGTGACTTATCTCCTGATTTGGAACTACTGTGATGTTTCTCTGTTTTATATTTGGATTTGTGGCTTTCTTCCGAATCTCCATCATCATGTCCATTATACTTGGAAGCTATATTGTAAAGTAGGGCAATTGGATGAAGTATGATGTTGTTTATAAATAATATATAAATTAAAGTGACAGTAATATGGAAGTATGTCTATAAATTTCCACAATTAAGGATAAAGGAGAAAACATAAAACAAGAAAGGCATGCAATATTTTATTAAAAAATGTAAATCTACACCACTCCTTTACTTTATAGCTATTAGTAATTTTGAAGCTCACTTTCATTGTTATCAGTTTCCTGGTCGCTCTCCTCTGAAGCTACCATAAGCTTCCATTTGTAAACAAGCGCCCTTGCTGCCTGGCCAACGTCTCCTGGCTCTTTACGAAGTGCATTCACAGTTCTGCCTACTCCTGTTTCTTGTAGATGTTGTACCGTCACATCCAGATGAAATAACTTATCTATGCATTTAAGAATCTGAAATAAATAAAATACAATTATTTTATATTATCCTTCTTTCCTATAATTTTAAATAGAAACTACAATACAATAGTTTACAGCCTCTTGTTAGACAATAGATATTTAAGATAAACCTTAAATACACTTACATATACGTAACTTATTACGTTATATGTTGATTATAAACTTCTAGATAATTTGTATGGCTTTCAAGTAGTCTGCTTCATAAAACATAATGCGTGTAGTGAAGCAGTTTATATAGGAATAACATTGTCAGTCTAGTTATAAGAACTTTTTTATAATGAAAGACATCTTATATATATATATTATTGCTACACTTTAAAAAGAGCCTTAGTCTTACACGACGATATGCAGCTGCGCAAATTATAATCGTTTTTAAAGGACATAGACATTATACAAAGATAAAGAGATGCCTATATATTTTAGTTTGATGTTGCTATTTTTCAGTGTTCTAGAAGTAAAATTTGTCGGTATGGGAGCAGATTCTTCTTTTGATAAACTTGAGAATGTGTAACAAGGATAGTTACGAAATAATCAAAAAGAAAAGCCGTGGAACTTAAGACTTATTTCCGCACTTACTTTATGTTCATCATTTGGATACTTTTCAATCGCATGTTGGTAGTGTTTTATTAAATCGAGAACCGACGCCATAACACTAATGTACACACTCGGCAAAATACAAATTTTTGCTTAAAAGTTATGTGCCAGCTGGTAAATGGGCACCATTTTTTAAAATTAAACACACACGTTTGACATTAGTTGTTAGTAAGAATAATTGTGACGTTACACATGCAATCGACAACTTACAGAGTATGAATCTAAAATTATAGATTATATGGAGCTTTTTGTCTGTGGGTATGATGAAACATCTGTGGTAATTTCAAATATTTTTTGTAATATTTTATGGCCTGGTAATAATTTCAAAATTTAAAATAACCATAAGTAATAAGTATACATAATATTATAGTAGTAATGAAATTAGAAATGTGACACAATTAATTACAATAATTGTAAGTTATAGACTAAGATCTTGTTTATGACGATATTTTTCATTTGTACTGAAACTGCACCTGTCTCATGTCTGTTGAAACTGTACTTCCATTTAACATACTTACTGGTATTTTACGTCTGTTATAAATTTGAGTACGTTAGTTCTTATATTGTAGCAGTACTAGATTAGATTAGACATAGGGTTGACCAATGGCTGAAAATCGTGGGAATTCTCTTGATATTTTCAATGGTCTCCAGAGTCCCGACTAATCTAAAAATCTCCAAACAGAACAGATATTTCTAAAATTCCGTTCAAAAAACAATGACAAATTGCCGCGCCCTTTAATAATGTATCATTTTCTTTTTTACCAAAATTCAAAAAGAAATAAATAAGATTTTTATTATTCATATATTTCTACCGCTTTTTCTCATTAATATTTAATATCTGCTTCTTTGATTTTTTTCAGATATTTAAACTTCTGGTCTGGCAACCTTGATAGTAGTATATTGCAAACAGTAAGTAGGTAAGGTAGATATTTGTAAAAATCTAATGATTTCTTGTTCCCTAGTTGTGCGATGTTAGTAAAATTGATATTTTATTGAGCTAGCACCTTAGTATGCTTCCAATATTGTTTATAGTGTTTAAGCAGTTATCACAATAATCGGTAATACATTATAATCTAAGGAATAAGTTACTTGTACGTATATTTTCACAACAAGTTGCTTACCTTCCCTTACACCTTGCTCTCTATAATTTCGTTGTTCGATATACAGTATTTGAACTTCGACACCGTTTTTACATAATTTTCTGTGAACAAGATAAAGCCATTATTTTCGCTCGGGATAAGATTGTTCCTTTACTTCTTACCACAATATAATGCACTTCCGGATTTTGACGCGTGCTTCATTTTGTTTTATTTTTTTACAACTATATATTATACAAAAATAAAGAAGTTATGTAAATTTCTACTTTTGGTAGTTTTCGAAATTATATTTGCTGTTACTACTGTTAGTTAGGCATACTTTTAAATAAAACACGTTAACGCGAAACATATTAGTTAAACTTATTTACAAATTATTTTAACATTCTCCCCGTGATCACGGCTGTTGCAAAGCATCAGAAACGGGGCTGAAGTTAAAATAATTTGAAAATATTCTTAACTGATATATTTCGCGGTTTAAACCGTTAAAGTGTTTTATGTAACTGTGTACTTCTCACGTATACATTCGGGTGAACAGTATTTTAAATTGTTTGGGCCAATAAATATTATTGTATTTATCTGTTAAAGGTAGAATAACGTCAGATGGTAGCTACTATGATTGTTACGAACATGTGCAGCCAGGAAGTAAATTGGACCCGAAGTCCTAATTAAATCTTCGCTACATAGATTCATAATGCACTAGACAGAACCTGAATCAACACTTCCCCGCTGAATAAGACGAACAGTTTACTGATTAAAACTTATTTGCCGTAAAGATTTGACAGGCGTTTTATTTGTATCAGCTCTTTCTTTATAAAAATTAAAGAGAGCTATAGATTTGACAATGACCGTCCATTCGAATTATAGACTATGATATTTATCAATGACAATTATTGATATACCAAGATTATGAAGGCTAAAAATACGTCTATGCTTTTATCTTATAATGTACTAGCTGTGTCAGCGACTTTGTCCGCGAGAATCTTTATTTTGGATATCTAAATTCGTTTTTTCAAACCCCTTCGTCTTTATCAGTTTATAATATAGCTGTTTAACCACAACGCCGGTCCCGTCTCTTTCCCGTTTTTCTTGCAAGTTAATCTTAAAACATTGACATGTAGCGTCCTGAGATTAGCGCGTTCAAAATAAACTAACAAACTCAGCTTATAATATTAGTATAGATTAAGAATTACAGTACCGCAATACAGGCGAAAGCGTACGAGTATTTTATCACCTTTCACGATGTCTCTAATGCGGGTTCACAAGTAACATTAGAACGCTAGGCAAACTAGGAGTCCAAATTACCTAGTTGAAAGTACTTAGCGTGTCACTGCAATGAAATATGACTTAATGCCACGATAGAAAGGAACGGTCATGCATTTCTAACTATACTGCCATTTTCTACTCACCGAAGGGGATTGTTATCGTGAAGATCATGCTAACAGGTTGACATAAGCCGGCGAAGGTTTCAGACAACGGTCGGTATCGAACTGCGGAAGCTTAATATGCCGAGGTAGCGCCCGCGAAATCTAGATATTCACTTGTATGCTAATAGAAGCCCTTAAGCTGATGTGATAATACGAAATGAGCTCCATATACAGTGGTGATACGAATTGTAGATACACGTGTAGATAAGGGCGATTGTCGGAACCGCTCGTGATAGAGACAAAGGGACAGGTGGACATTGCGCGCCTTATACAATTGTAACAATAACATTTGTAATAGGTTTTGTGTTAAACCGCCTCGTTGGTCTAATGCTACATAGTATATATTGAGGCCGCTAGAGGCAGATTACCCTAACTGCAATTTTATGACTTGAGTTATTTATATTTTCATAAAAATCATCTAAAAATGTTCTACTAACAATCTACTACACAGTGACCGAAAATTGTTAACATAATTTTTACACAAATAATAGTACAAATTCCGTTAGGCGCGAGGGGTTCTAAGTTTAAATCCTGGAGAAATATAATACCTGTCAGGTAGTTTCACTTGTGAATGCAATAAAGTAAATACACAAATGCCTCATTTTATGTAATGATAGATAGAGATAGAGGAGGACCATCATGGAGTTTGCTTGATGAAAAAATAAAATAAAATATACTTTATTCTCTTTAAAATTTAAAAAAATATTTAGATTCGTCAATTTTTTCTTTTTCGTTTGTCTGTCTGTTCGTCGTGTTACTACAGAGTGTTCAAAAGAGCAACATAACTAAGAAGAACATGCAAGAAACTTAGTCCGGCATTTTTAAATAGGTCTTATAAACTAATACATTTTTGTAAATTTATTAACAGACGCAATTCATATTACTGCCAGGCGGCCTTGTCATTAAAAAAATCGTTCAGACAATAATACGCCTTTTGAGACAATCGAAGTCTTAAATTTATTTATCTATAAATATGAAATCTCGACTGGCAATTTATTATACATACGAATTCAATTCCCCGCAAATGAATTAGATAAAGGAGATGAAGATGGGAGGTATAATACCCCAGCCATATAAAATCTACACAAGATGCGCTGTCCTATTGTGGATTTGGATATTCGGAAACATGTAGAAAGAAGGCTTTTAATAAAGTCTACCAAATAAAATTAAGCCAAAAATATGCGCTTGCGCATACGTCAATTGTAAAGCCCTGATCACTTAAACAATTTGTGTTTTTAGTAGTAACACCTAGAAGTAGTAGTTTACTTAGGATGGTGCTAATAACTAATGAGAAATAGAACGTGCGTGATCAATATATTGTATGCCCGTAGGTCAGCAGTCTAAAGACTATTTAAGGGTTCAAGGGGGTTAACCAATTTGTTGGAAGGTCAACCTGAGCCATTAGAGTTCTCATCGACTACAGTGTCTATCGATAATAGCTAGAAATAACCGTTTAAAAGCCGTTATCTCTAGAACCGATTATTTTTGTTCGCATTTTTTTGCATTTCGATAAATTGAATAAAGTTTCAAGTTTAAGAACTATTTATAGATAACAATTGAAAACAAAATATTATTTTATTTAAAGGAAGTACCCTTTTATTTGACTACTAGCTGTGCCCGTGACTTCGTCCGTGTCCCGTCGTTCTTGTGAGTTTATATTGAAAGACATTTACTCTCGCGGACATTATTTAGATAATTAAAAAGGTATCATTCTATCGTACATATTTTTTGGTTTCTTTCACCGTTTCTTAGATCATATTGGTCTTTCTGGAAATTCTTGAACCAACACAAAAATATTTTTTTATTTTGAACTAGTAGTCCCTGGGATTAGTGCGTAGTATGTAGCCGAGTATTATAATTTAGATTTGAGATCTATACTATTAAACTAAGTATACTTTGTAACTATTTCAATGATAACGGTTAATAAGAAATTCGTCTACAAACAAATAAGTTTAAACAGACACTAAATTCCCACTTAAACATTAAAATAAGTACACAACAACATTGTTTCAATCAAAATATTGTAATTCAAGTTCCTAGTTTATGATTTCTCGATCTAATTATAAGTTTATGGTCTATAACTAAAAGCGCAGCTTACAGCTTGATAGAATCTATTGCACGTCTTCATTCCATGTTGTTTCAAATTCCATTAATCATTCGGTTATTAATGGCATTAGTAATTGGGAATTAATGGATGTGAATGCGCGGTGTGTACATGGGAATGGACGTCAAACAGTACGTAATCAACACAGCATCGGTTTCAACAAAGGCATTTTATGTATCTTGTATTAGACAGCCAAATTAGTTATGTATGATAATAAATTTATTTTCGGTAGAATTGCCATTAGATATATTTTTTTTTTCATTTCATGATAGAAGGAATAAATTATAATCATAAAGGCTCGTTGGTGTAATGGTAGCAGTGGATGGCTAAAAATCTATGTCGTACTTCCCCCACCAGGTCAACATTTTTGTAATAAATTTGTATTAAATACTGTCTTTTTAGATATAGATTTAAATAAAACACTAGTTT